GAAGCCTCACTCTGGCTCAGCCTCCACACCTGTGTGATGGTCACACTGTATTGCCACCTGTGCCCCCTCAAGACAACTAGCCTTGTCTGTGAGGTCCCTTGGACTGAAGGGCCCTACTACAGTCTCAGCTACCTTTGTTCATCTAATTCGAATGCGGCCTCCTCCATGAGGAGCAGTCAGGAATGAAGCCCCTGCCAGTGATGCCCTAGCAGACTGCCTTCTCTCAGCTCTGTTTTCATTCTGCCTGATTTTGCATTTCCACAGTATGTAGTGAACCTTAAATGAATGTGAATGAAAATTGAAATTTATCTCATTCCCTAGGTTTAAAATATGCTCTTTTTTCTTTTTCCTTTTAAGCCAGGCACTAGTTGCTCATGCTCACCTATAATCCTAACTATTCAGGAGACTGAGATCTGAGAATTGAGGATTCAAAGCCAGCCTGGGCAGAAGTGTCTGTGAAATTCTTACCTTTAGTTACCTAGCAAGAAGTTGGGAGTAGAGCTAGGGGCTCAAGTGATAGAGTGCCAGTCTTGAGGGAAAACAAAACAAAACAAACATCTGAAGGATAGCACCAAGGCTCTGAGTTCAAGCCCCAGTACCAATACACACACGCACACACACACACACACACACACACACACACACACACGTTATTATTTATTCTTTGGGTGCTGGACAATTGAACCCTAGGCTTTATGCATGATCTATCCACAGTCGACATTTCCAGCTGGGAGCCCCAAGCCTTTACCACGAGATCTGTCTATATCAATCAATCCCTCTGAAATCAGACCAAGGATTACAAGTGTGAACCGCCCATGCCTGGCATTGGCTTCCTTTTTATTATAAAATGTGTTAATACTCTCTTAGAAAGGAATGAGGTGATGAAAATAAAGTACTTAGCATCTAGCACCTAGGAAGTAGAGTGACTATAACAATTTTGGGGGTCAGGTTCTTGGCAGGGCCCTATCCAAGCAAGAGTGTAGGGATGAAGGGGTAGTGGAAAGCTGAGGCAGCAGATCAGCCTCAGCTCTGACCTGGTCTCTATACAGGAAATTGGAAAGTGCACCTTAGTCATTTCTGCATGAGCAGAACAGCACATACCCTCTAACACGGAGCAGGTACAAAGTAAATGTTTGCTGACTTATCATTCATTCATTCATTTATTCATTCATGTATGTTAGTACTGGGGTATGAAGTTAAGGTCTGAGTGCTATCCCCTGGCTTTTTCCCTCAAGTCCACACTTGAACCACAGCTCCACTTCCAGTCTTTTGGTGGCTAATTGGAAATGAGTCTCACAGACTTCCCTGTCCAGGCTTGCTTTGAATCACCATCCTCAGATCTCAGCCTCCTGTGTACATAGGATTATAGACATGAGTCACTGGCACTCAGCACGTTTGTTGACTTTAAAATGGCGATTGCATTTTTGACAGCTGCTGAGATTTCCCAGGCCATCTGAGCATCAGCTGCTTTGAAGACACAACTGTGACAGAAGGAGCTAGACCTGAAATTCAAAGACACAGATGGACGGTTCTGGCTTTGTTACTGTCAGACTTGACGCAGGTCTTTTCATTTCCACAAGCTTTGGTTTCTTCATCTGTAAAATAGGAGCTAACACTGTGTCGATTCCTAAAACATGTGGTTTGTTTTAGAAAGTGCTGGTGGTGCTGGAGGCCCTAAAATAAGGGTGTGGATTAGAGGTAGCGCAGGGCTGGGCAGTCTGATGTACCACTCAACAGTGAAATGCAGGGCTGTGGAGAATGCTGCAAGTGTCAAGATTGAAGGGCACCACAGGGAGATATGGGATTGACAGCAGCAAAGAATTCCATGGGAGGAGGTGGTGAGGAAAGCATTTCAGAGAGCACTCTGTGCAAGCTGCTTTTCTTTTTCTTTTTCTTTTTTTTGGTGCCAGTACTGGGGCTTGAACTCAGGACCTGGGCACTGTCCCTGAGCCTTTTATTTTTGCTTAAGACTGACTCTCTACCACTTTAGTCACACCACCACTTCTGGCTTTTTGGAAGCTAATTGGAGATAAGAGTCCCATGGACTTTTTCTTGCCGAGGCTGGCTTTGAACCACACTCTCAGCCTATTGAGTAGTTGTGAGCCACTGGCACCCGGCCAAGGCTGCCTCTTATGGGATCTTTGGGGTAGTTCTAGTGGCTTTGTTAAGTTTCACTTTTTTTTTTTTTTTTTGGTCTCTGAGTTGTTCCCCATCAGTGCTGCACTGGCCAGTGATGGTTATAGAATTCATGTCACCTCTCACTAATCCCACCCCAGATCTGGGACTCTCCCGGGACATCTTCAGAGTCCTGAAAATGGTGGCTGCGCATGATCTGGTGGCTGGCTCATCTCCACTCCCTGCTTCCCATGTGCCAGAAGCATCAGTGTCCTCTGGGCCTTCCTAGGTCCATGCAACTCAGGCCCAGGGAAGCCTGGAGTTGGGGCATCCATCATGACACAGACAGGATCTGAATGATTCTGTACCTCTGAATGGCAGACTTCTGAGCCAGAAGGTTCCTTGGCATTCTCCCTCTGCCACATGAGTTGCCAGGCATGGGTCTATAGAGATAGAATGGGGTATAGAAGGCCTCACTCCTGCTAGGGCCAGGAACATCCACCAGCCTTCTCAGTAACCAGTGGCCCTGAGTGGGAAGCTGAAAGACTGACCTCACCAAGACAGTGGAGAATCAGCAGGATGTGTGGGTGGAGATTCTTAGGAGAGAAGCTGAGCGGAAAGGAACCGCATGACTGGGTTGAGGAGGGAGGCAGAGAGAAGGGCAGTCATGGGGGAAGGTGTGGAGCAAATGAAGGTAGGAAGAGATTCCCAAGAGTGAGTTCAGGAGGGGTGGGGGTAAGGGGCTGAAAACAAAAGGCCAAGGTGCCAGGTGTGAGGCTATGATGAGGGTGGGATTCAGGGTTCAGGATGGAGGTGGGCAGCCATGATATCCCAGCCATGATAAATACCCCACACACTGGTTGCCGCGGGGTGGGTGGGGTGGGGGGTGCGTGGTCACAGCTGCATGGGGAGGCAGTGAAGGATGCTCCAGAAATCATTGTGAAGGACTTCCAAAGTCTATCTATAAAGGAGTTTTAATTAAGGTATTGGAATAGAGGTGAGAGGGATAAAAGCTCAAAGACCCCAGGGGTCTTTGAGGATGGCATGTGCCAATGCTGGCCTCCCAAAGAGCAAGAGGATGCAGTTAGAGATACTAATGCTTTGCCTTCTCCAAGGCTGTTGCAGGAAGGGATGGATGAGGCCTCTGTAAGGCTCCCAGGAGCCAGGCTTCAGAAAGGTTAGGAGGTAGGGCATCTTAATCCTCAGCAGCAGGGCATGGGACAGCCCATGTGGATAAACCTGAAGGGTACAGGAGACACAAACTGAAGGGGTAGAATGGAGGGACCCAAGGAAGAAGTCCAGTTAGATGGATACACAGTCATCCAGAAAAAGGCAGCAGGACTGAATGCTGGTGACTTATGCCTATAATCCCAGTTACTCAGGAGGCTGAGATCTGAGGATCATGGTTCAGGCAGGGTAGAAGATTCTGTGAGACTGTATCTCCAATGAACCACCCCAAAGCCAGAAGCGGAACTGTGGTAAAAACAAAACAAAACAAAACTAAGGTTTAGCACCCAGCACCTGAACACACACAAACAGGAAGGCAGCAAGTTTGGTTTAAGAACCCATGGGTGATTGGCCACATGGCGCATAAGATAGCTAAGGAGACCAGAAAGGTCAAGCACAGGTGGTACCCAGGAAGTTGGATGCAGGATCAGGGAGATCTGGCCAGGCCAAAGCCACAGATAGATTGGTAGGAACATAGTAGGGCACTGTGCTACAGGAACCTGGCCTGGCAGGCTGGCCAAGGGGGCTGGGCACAGCACTAATGTGGGAGGAGGGGTCTGATCCTGACAACCTCAGCAAGTTTGCACTCATAGCCATGTGTATGTGTTTGGGGAAAATATCCATGAGTTCTCTTGCGCCACCATTTGGCTTTTGTGGGGCCCTTCTGAGGATGTAGAGGTAGCACACAACACATCTGGAGGAAACCTTTGCAACTCCGGCCGCATCGCTGGGCTCCAGCAACAGATAGGCAGGTATTAGATCAGAGAGCTTAGCTCTTTAAGTAGCAGAGCTGAATGGGAGAAGGGTAGTACTAATGAAGGCTGAGACAGGCCACTACTGCCTCATGCTGCTTCTCATGAGCCTGGAGAACAGGAGCCAGCTGAGGGGCCCTTTCCAAATAGCCAGGTCATGATCCTGCAGCGAGGGCATACCTTGATGCTCAGTTGTCTCCAGCTGCCAAGGTAAGAGTGCTCTGAGCAGACCCTAACCTGCATCCCCCTGGCCAGTCTTCCCTTGTTCCTGTAGCCTTTGCTGCATGCTAAGGCCCTCACTTCCTCCACTTTGCAGTCCTCTAGCATGCTGCCAGGCCTCCTCCAAAGACCAACTCCATGGAGATTCCTTGCACACACTGGTTATTGGACAGTTATGACCCTAACCAGGATCAACTAGTGGGGGAGAGACCAGAAGATCCTGAAACAAAGGTGAGGAGCTGGACCAGAGCTGGGGGGAGGGTGGGGCAGTTTTAGCAGGAAGGTATTTACAAAGGCACTGCTTGGAGGACAGTGGTGGGTCACATTGGCTGAGGATGAAGAAAGGCAGAACACAAAGAACACTCCATATTGCTATGGTTATCTTTAGGGGAATAAGTGGCTCCACACCCAAACCCACCCCTCCAGTGCCTCCTTGTAGTCAGCATCCATCATACACAGGTGCACAAGCACCAGCTCAGTCAGTGCAGGGAGAGTGCTGAGCCATGCTGTAGTGTATACTTAACAAGTGTTAGCTTTTAAAAAACTTGTCAATTATTCCTTTCTGACATGGCAAAAAACCCACTATCATATGAAATATAAAGGTATTCTCAGTGGTTCCTGTCAATTATACCTCATGTCGTCTGTGGAAAAAAATAGGAAATATAAATTATTTCAAATAGACATGCATAAAACTTTAAAATATTGTTTATTATTATTTCTTAAAATACCCAATACAATAAAAACTGCCACACAACTGACTTTACTACAAACGACAAATGCTCCTATCAGCTCAAATGCACATAAAAACTTTCCAGATTAAAGACTATAATTCCCTAGAAGTGCTTCACATTCTGAGGTTACACAAAAGTAAGCAGGAAAACACTAACATTAAATGAAAATCAATTTTGCACAAATAAGTATGATCATGCAGCTTAAATTACCAACTGAAATAGTGTAGTTGAGAATGACCCTGTGTGTTCTGACAAGAGTCACATTATTCCCTGGGGTGGTGTCTTGGACCCTTTGCTCCTCACATTTCTCTCATCAGGCCTGGGGCAAATCATCGAAGCAAAGTTTTCCTGGTTAGTGGCTTTATTTTGATGCACATTCCTCCTCCTCTTCTCAATTTCAGAAGCTTGTCCTGTGGATGCAGAAGACCTGGGAGGACCGAGCCAGGCTGTTCTCAGATGTCTTCCTTTCTCTAGAGGGATTGTGGATCTTCAGATCCTCCCTTGTGGCATGGAAACAGAGACTTGGACACTGCTGAGCAACAGTGAGCTCTGCACCTTTCCCTTACCAGGTAGGAGTGGCCATTTCCTAAAAAGTCCAGGAACGGCCTCTAAATTCAGAGAAGGCGTTTTATGCCAGCCAGTGCAAATCCAGAGCAGTAAACTGAAGAACTGAGACATGAAAAGCCACCCTGGAATGAGCTTTGGAGGAAGGCGTGCTGGGGAGCAGAGGTCTGGCAGTATGTCCACACTGCGTCCCATCTGAGTGGGCCACTCGGGACAGGCAGCCCAGTAGGGCGCTGCAGATGGCCAAAACAGCAGCCAGGGGCAAGTCCGCACTCAGGCTGGCAGGGAGGCCATCTTTGAGTTCAACAGTAACCTGAGTCCCTGCATCAAATATAATTATCTATCACCTTCCAAAATATTCTGAGCCAGAAAATGAACATAATATTTCAATTAGAAAGTGATATATCTAAAAATAGTATATTGCCATAATCAATTCCCACTCCCTGGGCACAGATAAATGTAGCACATGCCATCATAAACTTCCAGAACTGTTGCCGTGACAGAGAATGCAAAGTGAGGGGCTTTGCAGGGCATGTCCTTCCTTCCAGAGGCAGCACTCTGGGCCTGGGTTGCAGCTGAGGACAAACATCTCCTGGGAGTGGGGACACTGCAGTGTGGCCGAGGGCCCCGCCTGGATGGCCTCTAGGTAGCAGCTTCTAGGAACTCTGAGGTGAACACAGCCTCTGCGTAGTCTTCACACACATCCAGCAGCTCAGCGGCCACGCTCTCCAGAGCTTCGTCTACCAGCTGCTCTGAAAAGCTGCAAGATAAACACACGGCTGAAAGCACTGACAGCGGCACATGCAACCCTCCTGTCTCTCAGCTGGGAACCTAACAAGTCAATTCTAAAACTGACATGAAATTCAGAAGAAAAAGCAAGGTGAGGGGCTTGGCTTTCTGGACAGTAGGATGGTAATGCCCAAGTCCTGCTGGAGGCCTGGGACACAGACAGTGGCCTGGCCCTCGGAACCGAGCTAACAGAGGAGACTGAAGTGACCTCACTGTAGCCCTGCTCCTGGTTACATCCACCTGGGACCTATATCTGAGACCAAGATTGCAGGACACTCCAAATTTATATACCAATTTTCTCTGCATACCTCACCCTTTCTGAATCTGAACTGAGAGTAGGCTACAGGAAGACCTCCCCAAATGCATCCTTGTACATTTCCTAGAAAAAGGACATTCTCATCAACAAGACAACATTAACATCAATACAAAACTATTATCCAATCTTATGTGTAGGCCTTATTCAAATTTCACCAGCTGTCTCAATAAATCCCTTAAAAGAAAACTTTCTTAGATGGGTACTGGTGGCTTATACCTGGCAGAGATCTGGAGCATCATGGTTCAAAGCCAACCAGAGCAGAAAAGCCCACTCACTAGACTTAATCTCCAAAATAACCAGCAAAAAGCTGGGAAAGATATGTGGCTCAAATGGCAGAGTGCCAACCTAGCAAGTATAAATTTGAATACTGGCACTGAAACTTTTTTTCTGGTCAATCCAGAATCCTTGGCTGTGTTTTGTTCTCAAGTCTCTCATTTAGTCTGCTTTAATTTGAAATGTTTCTCAGTCTATCTCCCGTGATCCTAACTGTTCTCTGCAGAATGTCCCTGGACTTTTGAAATACACTCCCCCCTCAGTGTGTTAAGGTCTGTATGCACTCATTACTGATGACTGGTGATTTTGAACACTTAGTTTGGTAATATTTGCTATAGGCCTTTCTTTTGTAATTAAGAAGCATATTGTAGGGAGACAGAGACTATGTAACTATTCTATTTCTTTCTTTCCTTTTTTTTTTTTTTTTGGTCCTGGGACTTGAACTAAGGGTCTGGGTACTATCCCTGAGCTTTTTCGCTCAAGGCTAGTGCTCTACCACTTTATGCCACACAGCCACTTCCGGGTTTCTGGTGATTCCTTAGAGATAAGTATCTCATGGACTTTCCTGCCTGGGCTGGCTTCGAACCATAATCTTCAGATCTCAGCCTCTTGAGTAGCTAGGATTATAAGTATGAACCATTGGCACCCAGCTTGTAATTTTTTTGTTCTCATCAAACTTGTGTGAATCAATGATTACAGGGTTCTCCAAAACCACTTTTCTAACACTGGCATTTCTTCCTCATGTAATAGCTGGCATTCTACTATAATAGAGCACTCCCCCTGTTTATTTACATATTCATTCATTCACTCATTCATAAGTTGGTTTTATGGCTTCTGACTTCTGCAATCTGATACTATTGCTACTTTTTAAAAATTATTATTACTTATTTATCTGAGGTTTGACCACGCTGGCTGTTGTGGCCTCTTGATATGTCTTCATCATTTGTTATTTTTGGCTGTACTAGGATTTGAACTATATTGGGGTTTGCTAAGTGGGCACTCTCCCCACTCAAACCAACCCCTTTTTGCACTGGTTTACTTTTAGGATCTTGCTTCATGCCTAGGTCTTGCCTAACTTGCTATTTTTCTACTTGTGCTTCCCTGAGTTGCAGGGGATGACAAGCACCCAGCACTGTGCCCAGTCACAGTGTTCCCCCTATAGCTGGGATCACAGGTGTGTACCACTGTACCAGCCTCGGGCTGAAATGGAATCCTATGAACTTTTATGCCTGGGCTGGCCTTGAACAGCAAACACCTCCAACATCGTTGTCTCCCAAGGAGCTGGGATTACAGGCTTCAGCCACTGTGCCTGGCTTGTCCTATAATTCTTTAGAGCACTTCCTTTCAGGAACACATGATGTTCAAGGCTCATATTATGTTTCTGAGCCCTAGGCCTGCCTCTCTGAGGCGCCCTGGGGCCAGTTCATGGTAGACACAGACAGTGAGACATGGAGATCGGAACACCAAGTAAGCGCTGCGCTGCCAACGCCTTTGCTTCTAGATGCCCCCAGCAGAAAACCAAGAAATGTCCCTATAATCCTCTGTATTTGTCATCTACCAAAACTGTATGCTCATAAAAATAGGGCTAATTCCAGTTCGACCAAGGATTTGTTCTAGCCATCCCCCAGAAACCCCGGTCTTGCTATTCAAATTGTATTATTTGAGCCATCTTTAAATTCAAAGTAAGTAGTTTCAGAGTTGCCGGACCAAGAGGCTTGCAAAATCCTACCCCACCACAGCCCGGGCTCATGCTGTTGGAAGCTCTGGGGACGAATGCCATGTTGACAAGTCACTCTGCACCGTGCATGACATGACTGTGGTCTCTAGCTGAAACTAGATGCTACAGACAGCTAGGCTCATGTTTCTGTTTGTATTTCAAGTTAGGGTTCTCCCATCTTTGCTGATTAGAAGCTATCTAAAGGAAATATTAATATGGTTCCCAAAGTCAGAATTTTAGAGCAGAATGAACTACTGACTAAACAAAAATCAGAAACACAAAAATGTACATGGAGGTAAGTGTCATGGCTTCCTGCCTACCCTATTTCCACCTAGTTTTGTTTTTGTCATTTTTTCTCCCCTCCTTCTTCCCCTTCCACCCCCCAACTACAGGGCAATTCTCACCTTCCTTCCTGGTGTACATTTTGCTGGGCTTAAAACTCTGAATTAGTATTTTTCAGGAATTTAAAAACATGCATCAGGTCTTCCAACTTCTACTGTATTTGTGTTCCTCTCATTTTTATTCCTCTTGCTGATGTCCTCACTGTCCTTTCAACAATATTATGACATATGGCTAAATACAATTTGCTCTCTCTCTTTCTTTTTAACTTGGGGATTTTAGAGATTCTTTTGTTACTCTAAGGAAGTGATAGTCATGATCTCTTTTTAATTTTATTTTCACTTTTCCTTTCTCTCCTTTCCTTTTAGAACTCCAACACCATAAACATTTGATTTTCTTTTTTCTATGTCCCTTCTCTCTGTACTTTTCATCTTTAATAGTGGTTTTATGTATCACTCTGGCTATTTTTTTCTGTCCTATCTTCTAACTCTCTAACTTAGTGAGACCATCCAATGACTTCCTCATTCCAGAAAGTATAATTTTAATTCTAGAATGTACATTTAGATTTTGTTCAGTTTGTTTTTTTATTTTTTTTTGGTCAGTTGTGGCGCTTGAACTCTGAGCCTGGGCACTGTCCCTGAGCTCTTCAGCTCAAGGCAAGTGCTCAAGCACTCTACCACTTGAGCCACAGTGCCACTTTTAGTTCTCTGATAGCTAATTGGAGATAAGTGTGTCATAGACTTTCCTGCCTAAGCTGGCTTTGAATCGTGATCCTCAGATCTCAGCCCCTTGACTAGCTAGAATTACAGGTGTGAGCTAGCAGCACCCAGCCTGATTTTGTTCAGTTTTTTTTTTTTTTTTAATTTGGCCAATCCTAGGCCTTGATCTCAGGGCCTGGGCACTATCCCTGAGATTTTTTTTTTTTTGGTGGTGATGGTGGGGCCTGAACTCTGGGCCTGGGCACTGCCCCTCAGCTGAAGCTCAAGGCTAGTGCTCTACCACTCGAGCCATAGCGCCACTTCTGGCCTTTTCTGCTTATGTGGTGCTGAGGAATCAAACCCAGGGCCTCATGCATGCAAGGCAAGCACTCTACCACTGAGCCATCTTCTCAGCCCTGTCTTCATTTTTGATGGAGGCTTCATTATAATGATTAAGTTAACTGGGAAATAGCTATGGTATTTGGGCTGCTGTGGGTCTGTTCTTGTTTTGTGTCTGTTGTCTTTTATTTTTTATTATACACCAGACACTGTTTTCAAAAACTGTAGAAATAAGGTAAGTTTCAAGATGATGTTATTTTCCTCCAGAAAAAAAAGCTGAGGTTTGTATATGCCTGGAGACTGGAGGGCAATGGTTATGTAAAGTCTACTCAATCCAATCTCAAGGACTGAGTTGATATATTGAACAAAGCCCCTAAGAAGGCTTGTTTATATCCAAGTGAAAGTTTCAGGGTCCCAATCAAAACTGAGGACAAGGGGTAGGGATGTAGCTCAGTGGTAAAATGCTAAATTAGCACGAGGAAGGTGCTGGGTTCAATATTAGCACCACAACAATAACAAAAGGTAAGTACTGTTCACCAGGGCAATCACGTGCCCTTGGCACCTACTGGATTCCAACCTCTGTCTTCTGATATGAAAAGGCTAAGTGCTCCTCTTTTCTCTCCAAAACCGACTGTCCAGAGCCATGCAGTGGGTCCAGCTCCCTGTCTTCTCCAGGAGCCTGGCCCCATTATTCATTATTCACCTAGTTCACTTCTGGATGCCTTTAAGCACCTGTGTTTTATTTTTAATTCAGCTTTTCTATTAACAGTTATCCTCAGTGGGAGAGGTGGTCCAAATTACCAAGCGCATCATTACTAGAAGCTGAAATGATTGGTTCATTTTATATTTGCTTTGCTCTTTATGTTCCTATAGCAAATTCATCACCAAATGGTGAGAGAAACGCAAAGGTACTCTCAGTACATTTCAACACAGCAGGTGATGTATCTATCCATTTTCTTCTCTTTAACCTTCCTCACTCTGCCTTTCCTCTAGGGCAACCATACCATCTGGAACCTAGGTCTCCCTCCTCTAGTCTGGAATAGATGGTTTCCACGCTCATTGAGGAACTCTGCCCCTGGAAAAAGCTCTTGCCATTTTCTTGGAATCTCTGTGTTGAGTCTAGGATTTCTATAAACTTTGGCCTTCCTTTTTTAGAATACATGCTTATTCGGGGGGTGCACACTCTCCAGCAGCTGAGGGACACAGCTCAATGAAGCCATACCCCTAAAGTGTCCTTCTTATTCCCTTATCTTTAGTCATTTCGGTGAGTCAACATGTCTGTTAAATTCTGGAAGTATGTTCTAGTATCTTCTAGCTTCCAGTATTGTTACTGATTATTTGAAGATGTCCAGTTTTTACTTCTCTGGAATCTTAGGTCACCTCTTTACACTAGTATACTCAAGTTTCCTTTTCATAATGATATGCCACAGTGCATGCCAATTCATTCATTCATTCATTCACTTATTCCTCCCTCAAAGCAGACAAAAGATGAACTATTTTGATTTAAAGACTATAGCCATCCAGGAAATTTTCTTATAGCAATTCTTGGATAACGTCCCATTTCTCTCCCCACCTCCTACCCCCCACATTCTCTTCAGTAGTAACCCCTCTATCAAAAACACTTTTCTGAGCTGGGCACCAGTGGCTCATACCTGTAATTCTAGCTACTCAGGAGGCTGAGACCTGAGGATCATGATTCAAAGTGAGACCAGATAGCAAAGTCTTTGAGATAATTATCTCCAATTAACCACCAAAAAGCCAAAAATGGAGCAGCAGCTCAAGTGACAGAGCACTAGGACAGCTAAGAGACAGCACCCAGGTCCTGAATTCGAGCCCCAGTACTGCCACCCAAAACAAAACAACATAAAACAAAAATGTTTCTGTGGGGTTGGGAGTGGTAAGGGAGAACAATAGAAGGGGTGACACAAGATGCACTGTACCCATAAATATACTGAAAACCCCTTGTACAACTAAAGATGACACTCTTTTTTTTTTAACTTTTCGGTTCTCTAGTTACTTTTTTATTCTATTGTTGGAGAGATCAGCCATTCTATCTTCATATTATTTTATTATTATTTTCAGTACTGTGGACTGGGCCCAGGGCCTTGCACTTGCTAGACAAGCAAACTACCACTTGAGCCACACTCCATACTTCAGAACGTTATTTCTCACATTTTTATTAGCATCAATTAGTTTTACAAGAGGGTTTCATTGTGACATGTTCACACATGCATACCTTGATCAGATTCACCCTCTTTGTTGATTTCCCTCATCCCTCTCCGTTTCCCAAATCAATCTCAGTAGGATTCACTGTGTCATTTTCACACATGTACATAAAGTATGTTGACCATATTCACCTTCCTTTATTCTCCCTTGTCAACAATGCTTCCATTCTCTGGTACCCAGGCCTACATAGTATTTGATGTGTCTAGTTCTCAAGTCTTACAACAGACTTCTGCAGATACACAACTGAGTCCTGAGTTTACTTCATTACTTTGGTTGGCTGAGTTATTTGCTCTTCAACTAGCTACCTAAGGGTTATTTGATCTATCCTTTTCTGTCAGAAATTTCTCTCGTTCTCTCTTTCTTCCAAATCCAGGAAACTTTAGGAGTTTGGTTTTTATCAAAACCACTATGATGTTGTTTTCCCTTTCCCACTCAATTTCTTAACTGCATCCAGTTCATTTCATCTGTTCACTCTGATCACTGGACTAGGGCCTTTCTTGAGGTGTATGTTAGAACACAGACATTCAAAGATAGGTGGGAAACTCAGGTAGCCTCCCCTCTCACACAAGAGATGATGAGGTGAGCTAATCTGTCTTTGAATACTTTTCGAAACTCTCACCAATATAATTGTCATCTTTGGATCACAAAAATAAAAGTAAATCAGGAGAGATAAACAAGCGAGCAAAAATGGCATTGAGACACACTGTCACGCCAGGTCAAAGGGCAGCAGAGGCAAACATCTATGAAAGCTCAGGCATGTTTAATAGCTCTGTCTTCTATGTCTGAACCTAGAGGCTGGGAGAACTCTCTACATCTGCAAAACAGTGACAAACAAATGCATCAATGTATCTAGTGTAAGAATATACAACCAATTGGTCTCTCTTCCTTGGCTTGCTTTGGATTTCCTAATCAGCCAGTTACTCTAACTGATACGGACAAGTTATGGGAAATGAGTAAGAATACTACAGGATCATGTAGGTGTTATCACAAGGAAAGAAATTAAGTTCATTTTTCTCTTCCCTGGGAAAATCCTTCAGAACACGTGAAAGCAAATGTGCATCTCACCCAGAACAAAGGTTCACAGATGCTTTAAAAGGTATTATTGATTAAGCACAAGACTCAAAACTCAGGTTAATCTCAGAATCTGAATATTAGCAATTACCCCTGATTCTGTCCCCAAATCTCACTAAAAAAGGAAGGAGCTAGAAAAAACAAAAAACAAAAGAACAGGGTTCACATATGCTTCAAAGGGTAGTACTTGATTACATATAAGATCCAAGACTCAGGTTAACTGAAAGCTTTATTGGTATTGCCCTGATCCTGCCCCAAATATCACTAAAAGTATATAAACCAATACACAAATCTACAAGGAAAAAAAGAAAAGAAAAATGACAATGGTAGATGAGATATGACCACAGTTTTCAGAAGGTAAAAATCCCAGAAGATTCATAACTGATTTATTAGCAAGGAAGCATGGAAGAAGCTGTGAGGTTCCCCTGCCCCCGCCCCAAAAAGCAAGCTGATTTGTCCAAGATATCAGAAAGGCTCAGAAAGTGAAAGTACAGAAAATCAAGAAGATGGAATGACATATGAGGCAGAAAACCTACAGCAGTTAGATGACAGATCTTCACTCCTATTTTTGGCAGGGAAGGGACAAGCCCTTTTCCACCCTTACAAAAAAAGAAGATACAGTCCTTGGGGGGTGGGGGGAACCAGTAACTTTGATTTCCGCAAATCATCAATCAAGTATGAATATCACTTTCAAACCTGTCTTAAGAAATTTCTGCTATAGGGGTAAGGAAGGTGGCTCAGTAGTAGAATGCTTGCCTAGCATGCAGGAGGCGCTGGCTTCCATTCCTCAGCACCACATAAGCAGAAAAAGCTGGAAGTGGTGCTGTGGCTCAAGTGGTAGAGTGCTAGCCTTGAGCTGAAGAGCTGAGGGACAGTGCCCAGGTCCAGAGTTCAGATCCTACAACACACACACACACACACACACACACACACACACACACATACTCTCTCTCTCTCTCTCTCTCTCTCTCTGCTATATACAAGAGCTTTCATGAGAGACTAAATTAAGAAAGGGAAGTCAAGGATGTTAGAAAATAAGGAAGCTACTCTGGAGGGAGGGAGCCTAACACTCAGTATGGCAAAGTCCTAGGCCAGGGTAGAAGAAAAGGGGGCTGCAAAGATGAGCAGTAGGGCTGAGAAATGAGGATTAACTGACATTTTCATTCACTGGGAAAACTGAATATTGGCTAGTATGTGTACAAAGTAAATGCATAAGAGGCAAATAAAAAGAAGCAATTATTAACTCCTGAAGTATGCTTAAAAGAAATGTGCTAGGGTTAGGGCTTAAGTGGACTATACATGCACAGGCACGCGCGCACACACATATGCACAAAGAACCAACACAAAATATACTATTTAGCTCACTGATAAAAATATCTTGCAAGCATATAAACAAGTGATACCATGAGGACTTTATTTTTATTTATTTATTTATTTTTGGTCCGGTCGTGGGGCCTGAACTCTGGGCCTGGGTGCTGTCCCTCAGCTCTTCAGCTCAAGGCTAGCACTCTACCACTTGAGCCACAGCGCCACTTCCAGCTTTTTTCTTTTTGTTTATGTGGTGCTGAGGAATCAAACCCAGGGCCTCAGGCATGCAAGGTAAGCGCTCTACCACTGAGCCACCTTCCCAGCCCACCATGGGGACTTTAAATCTGGATTCTTTTTATAAAGAATGGACTTCACCAGTATCTTTTCAGGTTATTCATTCATAGCTCTAGGAGCCCATTTTATGACTCTAACGTGCCAACCCTACTCAGGGGGGTGACTCACAGGAGCAGAGGGTGAAGAAAGACACTGCAGTCAGAGGCTGTTGCAGAAGACCCGTATGTCCCGACTATGGTGATTTCCTAGCCCTGACTGCTCTCTTTCTGCTCAGCAACATTTTAGGTTCTCTGACGGGTCCTCACTCTCACCAACAGCAAGAGAAAATACCATAGCTCTTTTGCTGCGGTACACTTTTGTGCCCCCTATCCTAACACTCATATACTGAAGTCCTAACTCGCAATGTGATGCACAGGCCTTTGGAAGATAATTCTGTTTAGGTGAGGTTCTGAGGACACACCCTTCATGATGGGCTTCTGCATCTGAAGAATGAAATTGTTCATTAGGGCCCAGAACTCTAGGGCCCTAAGAAAATCCCCTCTTCAGCTTTACCACAAGTCTGAAATTTGGCCCTTAGTTCATAGACAGTAATATATAATGCCTTACTAACCTTTCAGCAAACAGCCATGGGTTGAAGGAGCCTACAGCCTCATGAGATATGAGCCGAAGGAATTGCTCAAATTGGCTACAATAGTCACCAATGCTGTGCCTCATACTGGGTGGGACAAAGAGAGGCACTCTGCCTTCTCTCTGTGGAGAATCTCCTGCAGGTGAAGGAATGGGAGCCTCTCTCTTCTCTGGTCTCTCGTCTGCTCCCAAACTTTCATCCAGGGAACTGACAACACAGAAGAGGAACAGACATGCAAAGTCATGGGTGAGCAAGGTGGACTGCTCATTTACCTTGATAGTTCCGTAACCAAAATCTGTCCCTCACAATGAACAAAAGGCAACACTGCAACCTGACTCTCTTTTCTCTTTCCATTGCACTAATGTTCACACTACAGGCATTACTTCTCTTAGACAAAATGACACTGAAAACAAACCTTACAGGAAGTACCAAAACAACCTACATGGACCCAACTAATGCTTGCCCCATGGAAAACCAGCCAATTGCTGCCATGGATGAATGGCAGGCTCCTGACAATGAAACATACGTTGCCCATTAATAACCATGCTGTGTTACCATCTCAGAACTGGCAAGATATTCTTTTAAAAAAACCTTCCACCCTGTGGAAACTGAAGAAATACAGAACTTAACTAGGTCAAAGGCAACCGACTCACATGAAAGCAGACTGTCAGAACCACTTACTTGCCATTGCAGGGACTTTCTAACACGATGCTAACAGCAGGCTCCCTGTGTGCTACTGGCTTTGTGATCCTGATGAGATGAGGAGGCAGAGGCCTTTCACTCACTGCTGGGCTTTTCTGGTCTATAAGAGGACAGGCAGAACATGAATGCATATAAAGAAAAGCTGATGTCCAACTTGAGCTGTCCTAGTGGCCAACAACCTGTGAGGAAGTCACATGAGCATTTAAGCCTTAATGGGCATAGCTAGCAGTATATAGGGAGAAATAAAACTACTATAAAGGCAAAGGTGAATATAAACAGTACAAGAAAACAAGCCAGTGTAGAGACAGTCTTAAGAAATATTAAACTCCAAACCGGAGGCATGACTCAGGTGGTAGGGCACCAGGTGAGCAAGCAAGCTGAGAAACAGTGTTAGGCCCCAAGTTCAAACCCCAGTACTTGCACCCAAAAATAAATAAATAAATAAATAAATAAGAAAGGAAAAAAGTAACAATAAACTCTTTCTGAAGGCTCTGGCACCTCTAAGGAAGCCTCCTTGCTGAGACTCCATTATGAGCCAGCCACCCAATCAAGGATTTGTAAGCAGTTAAGTTTGTTTAACCTTTAAATGCTTTGATTACTAAAGAAGAAGAAAAAAAACTCTCATGCCTGAACACTTAATTAGCTGATCTAATTTGTCTTGGGCATTGCTAGAAAAAAAATCTGCATGATTATAATCAAAACATTGATTTACTAACTACAACTTACAGGCTTGACAACTCAAGTCTTAGATTCTTTCTAATTTTAAATACATTTCAATGTCAGGAAAGAGCTGTCCTCTAAGGTAAGGAAAACTTACATGTAAAATAGCTTTCTCTGATTCACATTATAATCTCATGATTTCTCTACTGCCTGACAGAAACTGCCCAAACCAACTGATATAAAAAATATTACTGAGAAGCCAGCACTGGTGGCTCATGCCTGTAATCCTAGCTACTTAGAAGGTTGAGATCTGAGGATCATGACTGAAACCAGCTTTGGCTGAAAACTCCATGAAACTCTTCTCCAATTAACCACCAAAAAGCTGGAAGTGGTGCTATGGCTCAAGTGGCACAGTGCTGGTCTTGAGTGACAAAGCTAAGGGATTGATCTAAGCCCTGAGTCCAAGCCCCTGTACCAGCACATACACATGAAAATTTTGCGGAGAAGACAACGGATTTCTGTAGTTCTCAGGGAGAAGCAATATGGATTAGACCTCTCTCATTCCAAAGATCACTTTAACCAGACATGCCTATAATCCTAGCTACTCAGGAATCTGAGATCTGAGGATCTTGGTTCAAAACCAGCATGGGACTCATCTCCAATTAACCACCACAAAGCTGGAAGTAAAGCTCAAGTGGTGGAGTATGAACCTTGAACAAACAGTTCAGGGACAGCACCCAGGCCCTGAGTTCAAGCCCCAGGACCAGCACAAAAAAAAAACAAAAGAACACCAAAGATCATTTTACATTGTGATATAACTAAGCCAACAGGCAGAACAACTAGAAACAAGAATGGCTTACAATTCTGGGGTGCCCAAAGATGTCCTTCTATACACAGAGTCTACAGAGTCCTAGTGTCCGTCTTTAAGAACATCAAGTATTCTTCTACATGATACAGCCAAACCATCAGTGACACAAATCACCCCTCTGCTTCCATCTGAAAATAAACTGGCCACTGATGGACTAAACAATGATTAGCAAGGCCCTAGGGAAGGTTTGGAGGGGCTCTGACTTGAACAAAGTATCCAGAGCTGTAACATGCCAAGCGAGCAGTGGAGGAAGGGAACGAAGTTCAGTCGATAACATGGTTCAAGGATCCCTCCCTCCCTCATCCTAAATGCTTGGGACCAAAACTCTGATTCCAGGTTTTCTAATATTTGCATTAGCTTTCCTGATTGAGCATTCTTAATATGAATGCTCTTTGGACTTCAGATTTTTGGACTGCATATTTGAGGCTTAGGGATGTTTAGCCTGCAGGAGGATATGCACTGCCAAGCTGGGTCATATGAATTGGGCTGTGACAAGTCATTCACTTGTCATGTGGGAAACAAATGGAGGCTGAGGTTGTTTGGTGAGGAAAAGAAACAACATCATCATCTTCAACAACAAAATAGTACTGGAAAATAATAGGAAACAAAAAGGAAAAACATTAGTACTTGGCTTATATGGCTCATCTTTCTTTCAAAATCTGACTTTTTCTAAATACTCAAACTCCTATTTTAAAATAATTACTTGTGACATGTACTGCTGTAAACCTCTACCATGCCGTTTCCTTTCCGCCTCTTAGCAAGTACAGTACAGGACTTCAATTCCGTTAGAGGCAGTGCTTCTCCACATTTTATCTCTCCTTCATGGTAGGAACAATGGTAGGAACTGACAAGCATGATTCAAAACAGAATCTGATCAAGGCTTCCCAGCCAAAATTGTGACAGTAATCTAGCAATTGCAGCCAAAGTGTGTGTGCATGTGTGTGTACTGTGAAATGTGAAGAGAAAAGCAAAACTCTTTCCAACAAAGGTGCTGAAACAAGTGGCGATCTGAAACCAGAGTTTCAGTTGCTTCTTTACACCACAGACAAACTTTACCTGATATTATCATGGGCCAAAACATGAAAACTAAAGCTATAAAAGCTTTTAGAAGAAAATAGAGTATCTTCTTGCCTCAGAAGTAGGCAAAGATTCCTCAGACAACTGACATCAAAACCATACAAGGAAAAACTGATAAATTAGAGAAGCAGGTAAGTCACTGATGGGGAAACAGTATTTGTAAAGCATCTATCTGCAGAAGCAGATGTGTGGCTCAAGTGGTAGACTGTCAGCCCAGAGTGAAAAAGCCAATGCATACACAAAACTCTGAATTCAAGCCCCAGTACCAGCACAAAACCCCAAAACCAAAACCAGAAAAGCTCCAAACAACAAATAAACAAAACATCTATCTGATAAATTAGTAACTGACATACAAAGGGGGAAAAAGAATGAGGAGTAACAGCTGATAGACACAGATCCTTTTGGGGCTGATGAGAATATTCTGGAATTAAGTAGTGAAAGGGTACTTCGCCTATAATCCCAGCTACTCTGGAAGCAGAGCCCAGGAAGATCAAATGACATACCACCTTAGTGTCATGCAGGTATATACATAAGAATGTAGTCTAAAGATGGTCCTAAGGTCAGCCTTGAGCTAACAGAAAAAAAAGCTGGGGGACGTGGCTCAAGTGGTAGCATGTCTGCCAAGCAAGTACCAGGCACTGAATGAAAGCTCTAATGTAGCAGGGGGTGGGGGGATGGAGGGGGGTTGGAAGAGAGAAGGGAGAGAGATATATGTGTACAAGTGATGCTTGTACAATTATGTAAATACAATAAGACTAATGAACTATACACTTTTAAAGAATGAAAAGTCTGGGCATGTAGCTTAGTGAGAGAGCAACTGCCCAACATGCACCAATCCCTAGCTCCCTAGGATAGAAAACAAAAGAGAAGGCTGGGAAAGGAGCTCAGTGGTAGAGTACTTCTTAGCATGTGCAAGGCCAGGGCTCAATCCTCAGCACAACCAAAACATATACCCAACAAGAACTTGTACCAGAATATAAAGACTTTGTACAAAAATAGTCAATCCAAGTCATAAAAATGAGCAAAAAGATTTTGGGCACTATAAAAGACATGTGACTGGACAACAGTCACTTTTAATAAGTTGTAAATATATTACTCATCAAGAGATGAAATTAAAGCCCAGTGCAATATCACTACAGCACAATCAGAGTGCTACGATGACAAATGATACCAGCAAATGTTGCCAAAGGCATCAAACAAATTGAGCTCCACAGAGATAGGAGTGTTCACGGAATATAAACTGATACATTCTTCTTCTGAGAAAGGTTTTTTGAAAAAGTTAAATATACCTATCCTATGACCTGGAAAGTACACTCTTAAGTATTTTTCCAAGACAAATTAAAACTGAGGGTCCATACAAAGACTACATATCAGTCCCTCAGGCAGAGGGACAAATTAGATGTGGTGGGTGCACACCATGAACTACAGATACAAGGGCTAGGGGATAAATTGGTGGCCCCTTGAGATGCCTCCAACAGTTTCTAGAACCTGACAATGTTGCCTTGATGGTACAAGGGACTTAAGGATCCTGAGATGGGGAGAGTGTCCAGGATTATAGGGAACCCTCAGTATGGTAAGGATTCTTATAGAAGGCAAGTAGACGCAGATCTGACTACAGAGGAGGAATGGAAGTGAGGCAACAGAAGCAGAGACTGCAAGAGTAAGTTCACCTGCCAGGTGCATGTCGGCCTTAGACAAAACAGATTCTCCAGCCTCCAGAAGGAACTAGCCTAACCAACACTACAGACTTGTGCCCTCCAGTACTCTAACAGAATGTGTATCTTTAGTGACCAATATGTACATTCCACTTGTTTAGCAGCAATAGGAAATAAGCAACACAACCAAATATAAGATGCTACAGTAAAAGAAGAGTGTAGAAAAGAGTTCAACTATGATTTGGTACTTAGGTGAAATTCTACAACAGCTGACACTAGTTTCAAAGCATAGTGGTTACCTGGTAGTAGGAAACTGGCTGGGAACATGGATCCATTTGTCCAAACCCTTCAGATGACATGAAGACGACTGGGTTTATATATGTAAATACATAACTCTTAACTGCTACTGTGCATATTTAGGAATAAAGTGTGTGATATCAACACACTTTAAAATACACAAAAGAGATGCATTTAATGTAAAGATAAGATGAACTGACAGAAAAGGGGATAAAGAAAAATAATAAAGCTACTATATAAAGTATTAAGCATACCAGTTTACTTAGTGGTATATCAGTATTCACTATATGTATTTTTTTTTCCTCTCAACTTTTTGGTAATGGGGAAAAGTGGGGAAGCACCTACCATTTCTTTCTTCCTGCATCCATAAATGAGGATCAGCATATACAATTTTATTATATCTTTGGCGTACTGTCTCCTGGTATTTCTTTAAAAAAGAAAGTTTAATTTATGAGAAAAGATGAGTTTCATTATAAACCAGAACTAGTAAGGATGGAAAAGTTCAGCAGACATGGTTAATACAGACAAATGGCTAGGACAGATATCTGCCAGGCCAGGAAATGATTAGTTCGTAGAAGTCTAAAGCTAAACAGTACAATTAACATGACTGCAGTATCCACCAGCATTTTCCATTAGAACCTGTGGTGACAAAAGAGGCTTTCTTTACATGCCTTGTCCAATATGGTGACCACCTGACTACAGACCATCTGCAGTGTTTTTACTTTAACACCACTTATTTCAATAGGCATATGTAGCCAGTGTACCTCAGTCTGGACAGTTAAGGAAACCAGTTACAAGACTAGAATAAAATGCTATCCTTAAATTTTCAAAAATCAATGAATTACCTTCTGACTACAAAGAAGAAATGAGATTAAATCATGGTGTAGCTAAAACAAAATGCAAACATGGTGTCATGAGACCTGGACTCTCACCCCAGCACTGTAATTTGGGGGGATCTTAGCCACTTGTTTCCCTACCAGATCTGTTTCTTGCTCTGCATAATCTAAGGGCTGGGATGGCCAATGTGTGAGACCTAATACCTTATGAGAAAAGCATTCTAAAAGTAGTGTTGGAGAAATTAAAGAAAGTAAAGTTACCAGTGATTTCATAGAATTGCTCTCCCACAGGGTAAAAGAGGCAACTGAATAGAGGTTGAAAACATTACCAATCACTATTAGTTGTGTCAGACAGCATATTCAATATGCTATGCCACATTCCATCCTTAAAATCCCTTCTTATTATGCAGGGCAAGTAACTATGCCATACACTAAGGTCATACACTAAGTTAGTAGCAGAGGTGGGATTTAACAGCAGGACCATGGGGCTCTGACATATTAAGTGCCAGAATCACAAAGAAGAACAGAGGTGAACCCCCAGTGGCAAAGCTGACCCCAGCCCCCAGACCTTACTTCTATCTCCTCCATTCGGAGCATCATGGTCTCCAGATCTGGGCTGTTCTTGCCGTCCCTCAAGATCTTAGCTTGAGTCAGAGTCCAGAGCTCATGAGCAGTGTCTTCCAAAAAGTCACCCAGCTGATGAATATTACTGGACTGAGAGTTAACAGCTGTGACCTTCAAAATAAGGGAAGGTGGGAGGTGGAGAGGCGACCAAAAAAAAAAAAAGGAAAGCTTAGATTATTGCTCATAACAAACCAACAGCACAGTTTCCCAACCAGCAGAGTTTCTACTGCCTAAATCAGTAAATACCAGAAGTATTGACTAACATCAGTGTGCTTTTATCACAGCCATTTAAATAAGAGCATTAACTAAGTGGTGCCATTATTATCTATTTAAATAACCATTTCATGTGTCTGTCAGTTGGTAAATTATCTTCCTTTTGCCATATTCTGACAATGTACCAGATTTTGCATGCAACACAAAATAGAGGCATATACATCTCCTTGTTTCTGGGTCAATAATTGGTAAGAGCTTCTTGACATCACAAAGTTTAAGACTCTTTGTCTTTGCTTGAGACTCAGTTATAATCTAAGAGCTTTGCCAGCCTTTCTTGGCCTTTCTGTCCTTAGATTCACAAAGTACTGCAGTTTGCAAAGCATTTCTACAGGCATTTGTTGTGATTCTACTATATGTCTATAGCTTCTGAAAGAAGCTTTAGTAGAGTAAAAGAGGTATTTCTGAGATGAAGGCCAGGTTCTGCCCCTACAAATCTGTAACTTAGAGTAAATTTATTCAATCCTCTCATCTATGCAATCTATACAAATAATAATCTTGGATTTTAGAAAAGGAAGTATTGAAGAAGGCTTGTATTATTGAGATACTCAGCACAAGATCTGGCACACAATAAGAAAGGTTACTACTAAAGCAATTAACATGCAAAACCTTTTAACAGATAACAAAAAAAATAGATAATGGCCAACAAATAAATGAACAAAATAATAATAACAATAAATTAAATTAACATAATATATACCAAAAAGCACTTTTATCTCAAAGTACCCAATCATAATCAAAGCTAAACAAGTGAAAATCAGTTGAATGATCAATATAATAAAATTACAGAGGGATCAGGGGGAGGGAAAGTAAGAGAAAAATGAGGGAAAGGGTAACAAGTTTGATAAGAAATGTACTTATCTACAAAAAGAAAATGCAATGAAAAAAAAAAAGAAAATCACAAAAAGATTCAACTTAACCAACAATAGGTTTAGTTAAGTAAGAGATATGAGTAAGTTTGCATGGGCAATATTTCCCATCCATAAAGAATGGAATACCAAGAATACTATAAAGCATTAAAAAAGACAAGGAAGGAATTGATGGGCTACTATGAAAAGAATATCAACAAATAAAAAAAGAGCATGGTACTGAATAGCTCAAGTGGCAGAGCATCAGCCTGAGTGATAAGGCTAAGAGGTAGTCAGCGCCCAGGCCAGGAGTTCAAGCCCCAGTACTGTCACGTGTGTGTGCGCATATGCTCACATACACGTACACACACACACACCAAAGACACACAGACACACACACTCCAGACCAGACACACACAGACACACAAAGACACACATAGACACACACAGACACACACACAGACACAGACACACACAGACACAGACACAGACACAGACACACACACAGACACACACAGACACACACACACACACACACACACACACACTCCAGATCTGGGTGCTGCTCCTGAGCTTTTTTGTTCAAAGCTAGCACTCTACCTGGAGCCACATCTCCACTTCCAGCTTTTTTTTGGTACTTAATTGGAGATAAAAAGTTTTGGGGGGGCTGGGAAGGTGGCTCAGTGGTACAGTGCTTGCCTAGCATGCATGAGGCCCTGGTTTCGATTCCTCAGTACCACATACACAGAAAAAGCCAGAAGTGGGCACTGTGGCTCAGGGACAGTGCACAGGCCCACAGTTCAAGCTCCCTGACCAAAAAAAAAGTCTTCCTGTCACTGCTAGCTTTAAACCATGCTTCTCATATCTCAACCTCCTGAGTAGCTAGGATTACATGTGTGAGCCACTGGTGCATGGCTTTATAAATTATCTTTAAGTAGTTGTAAAGAGGAGTTGCCATTTAACAAAGCAGTTTATGAATACAATGCATCTTGATCAATGCCACCCTTTCAACAGTCTCACCCATACCTCTTTCCTCACTTTTCTTAATTTTGTAGGATATACATTGAATTCTTATATCCAAGGCAGATCATTCCTTATAATATTCACATGTCTAAATTATTGCTAGTTCTTAAAACCACTTTGTTTTCCTTTAATTTTATAATGGATATGGAGTTATTTCCTTGGGTTAGATGCTAACCTATTTTTTTTGGGGGGGTCCGGTCGTGGGGTCTGGGCCTGGGCCCTGTCCCTCAGCTCTTCAGCTCAAGACTAGCACTCTACCACTTGAGCCACAGCGCCACTTCCAGCTTTTTTCTTTTCGCTTATGTGGTGCTGAGGAATCGAACCCAGGGCCTCAGGCATGCAAGGCAAGCGCTCTACCACTGAGCCACCTTCCCAGCCCTAACCTATTATTTTGTAAGGGGGAAAAAAGTCTACTGTTTAGTGACTATGCTACTTAAAACCCCATCCTATATCATACTTGAATTTAGATGTTGTAGGCTTTAAGTTTCTAGTTTTGAAATCTTACCTCACATGAGATTCTGTTACAAAATATTTGTACAAAAGAATTATAGTCACAAACATTATAAAAATATGCTGCAGCTAAAATACTGCTTAATGGGGCTTGGAAGGTGGCTCAGTGAGAGTGCTTGCCTCACATGCATGAGGCCCTGGGTTGGATTCCTCAGCACTACATAAGCAAAAACAAGCCAGAAGTGGCGCTGTGGATCCAGTGATAGGGTGCTAGTCTTGAACTGAAGAGCTGAGGGACAGCACCCAGGCCCAGAGTTCAGTCCCCACGACTGACTCACCTGCAAAAAAATACTGCTTAATAGTTATTAATAACTATTAAGCAGTATTTTTAGTATTTAAACAGAACAGGGATACATTCTACAAACCTATTTTCTTCCCATTCCTAAACTCATCCCCCCACCTTTTTTTTGTGCCAGCCCTGGAACTTGAACTCAGGGCCTGGGCACTGTCCCTGAGCTTCTTTTGCTTAAGACTAGCACTCTACTACTTGAGCCACAGTGTCACTTCCAGTTTTTTCTGCATATGTAGTACTGAGGAATTGAACCCAGGGCTTCATTCATGCTAGGCAAGCAATCTACCACTAAGCCACATTCCCAGCCCCCCACTTCCTTTTCTGAAGCTTTTATACTAGGCCCTGCCCTTTCTTCTGAGCAATCAAATGTAATAAACATTTTACATCCTGCACAAGGGGAAATGGTTGCAACTTTTACTTTCCACTCCAAAGCCTAAGCCTAGACAAGGTAATCACATCCTCCAAACCTTAAGCCATGTCCTCCAAAGGAAGAAGGGGTGGCCGTACAAATACTTTAAGCTTTTTTGGGGGACTGGGAAGGTGGCTCAGTGGTAGAGCGCTTGCCTTGCATGCATGAGGCCCTGGATTGGATTCCTGAGCACCACATAAGCAAAAAGAAAAAAAAGCTGGAAGTGGCGCTGTGGCTCAAGTGGTAGAGCACTAGCCTTGAGCTGAAGAGCTGAGGGACAGCGCCCAGGCCCAGAGTTCAGGCCCCATGACCGGACCCGCCACCCCCCCCAAAAAAAAACAAACACACTTTGAGCTTTTTATTTCTCTTTAATATTTTCATTTCTTTTCTGGACTCTCTCTTTTCTCTGCTGGTCATAAACCAGGCACTCAAAATATGCATGTGTAACAAAAATATTAGACCCTAAGAATAAAAGAAATTAGGCCAGTAATGAGTGAAACTAGGGCAGCCATTCCTCTGCTATAGGCCATTCAGTGACACAGTGCACTCACAGTCTGTCATCAGGAAGAGAGATAAAAGGCACTGACAAAAACCTGTGGCTCTAGAGTGTCTAAGTGCTGTTTGCAAGGCTGATCTAAGTCATAGTGCTAAATATACACCATAAGAATTAACATGCCAGATAGGAAAAATAATTTTCACCCTCCTTGAGTCGGATAATGTAGTGTTTGCAAAGTAATTTGCATATATTTTCCTCTGACTGGAGACATTATCATGTAATAATACCAGAATACCAACAACACACACCTGCTCTGCAGGCTGGGCTGCTGCTTCATTTAATGATGGACGATCCTTCAAATGAGTATTTGCTTCGGTAGAAGAATTAACTCTCTATTAAAATGGACAAATAGATTTATGAATTATAAAAACTCACAACCCATATTAGTACAAATGAACCATGTTACCAAAATAGCTTCTGTGTGGAACTATTCATCAGCTCTACCTGCATTAGGCACTTTGGCAGAATTAATGCATTCTGTCTTCATGAAAATAAATTCTACATGCTGTTTTTGGCTCTCCATGCTCCTACATTCCCCTCCTCCACTAACTTTGTAAACACTGAAAAAGTAGGTGTGTGCTTTTATGCAAGTCATTCACTTCCTCTGCTCCACAGTTTCCTCAATGATAAAACAGGAAGCTGACATGTAATTTCTCTAAACCTCCTAATTCAATACTTGAGATTTCTATGACTAATAATAATTTAACACTTCTTAACCTAGAAATGCAGAAGTCCACAGGTCTGTACAGGGAATGCCCTTCATTCAATTTAAGGCTATAAGATGCTCTACAGCCTCATCTATTATTTGTGCAATGTGACAGTTTCTATCATTAGGGTCCTGCTGCAGAATTTAGCCCATTACCTATAGAAGGGTGGCACTGCATGTGATTTCATCTTGGAGAAAGCCTTGCTATGTGCACAAAAGTGTCCAAATCTCTCTCCCTTGTGATAAAATAGAGCAAAACATTCTAAGCCCCAGAGGTGAGAGAGGACATTATAGTGGGAGAAGTTAACTGAACACAAACATTGCCAATAGAATCTACTTGCTAGAAGGGAAACTGCAATGCAAATGTACTCTCCCAAGTTCAGATCTCACCTTTCAAAATTAAGACTTTCCTCTCTTCCTTTCCCCAAAGCAGAGGCTAAACTAATAGTACAAAGTGGTCTGGGAGTGGCCACAGGGGCTCAAGCAGCATTGAGCCCATGCTTTATACTGCAGTCTCTCAGCACTGCAGCCTCCAGCAGCCATGGACAGTTGGCCCTACCAAGGATCAGTGCCACTTCTGTAGCAGCTCTTTGTACTTTGTACTCTACACCTTCCCAAGGCAGGCAAAGGGGAGAACTGGATTACCTGGGCCCTGACTAAAAGGGGCTTCAGACGCTCCAGAACAGCTTCCTCTACTTGGTCCGCTAGCTGGGTGGCTGAAACACTGTTTAGAAAACGGAAAATTTTCATGTCAGAAGCAATGCATATCACAAGCAACTCGTATCACAAGCAAGAATACATTTTACATTGCATATTTATCAAACAACTCTGGTTGAAAGGAGAGCAAATGATTATAACACCAGTGCTTTTAGAGCTGTACTGCCTATGCAGGTCCCTATGAGCTTAAAATGCAGATTCTGATTCAGATATGCTGAGTGAGGCCAAGATCTGTGTATCCAACAAGCTCCTAGCCTGGGTGGAAAAGTTTATGAAACTCTCATGTCTAAGCAAAAAACTAGAAGTGGAGGTATGGCTCACATGGTAAAGCACCAGCCTTGAAAAATAAAAAAAAGCCAATCGAGAGTGAGAGACCTTGTACTGGCACAGGAAAAAAAATTCCCCATTAATAATAATTGTCAATTAAGAATCCTAGCATGGTACTAGTAGCTAATGCCTGTAACTCAGCTACTCAGAAGGCTAAGATCTGGAGGATTCATGCTTAAAAAAAGTCCAGGCAAAAAAGTCCAAGACCTTTATCTCTAATCAGCAAAATTCTAGGTTGGAGGTGCTCGAGTGCTAGCATGCCAACTGTGAGTGAAAAAGCTGAGCAAGAGCATGAGGCACTGAGTTCATGCCCCAGAATCAGAAAGAAAAAAGAATCTATTTCTAGTAAGGCTGATAGCCTAGGTATATACCATTAGTAAATATGAGAGTAGAATAGGTATTTTTAGTCTTGACAAGACTGAAAAGACCTTTGAGTCCCATTTATTCTTTTGTTTTATCTTGTTTTTGAGATGGAGTTTAGCTATAGCTCAAGCTAGCCTTGAACTATTGATCCTCCTGCCTTATCCTCTCCACTGCTGGGATTATGGCTGAGTCTCATCCCACCAATTCATCCTTTCTTAAAAAGCTAAATTAAAACACAGCAGGTAGCTCACAGTAATCTCAGGACTCAAGAGGCCGAGGCAGAAGTGAAAATTCAACACCAGCCTGAACTACATAGTAAGACCCTGACTTGAAACAAACAAGTAAACAAACAAGCTAAATTAAGTATGTTCCAATAAACCAAGCAAGCAAACCAAGAAAGAGAACACACTAGGGAAACCTGTAAGAGGGAGCTTGGCCTAGATAGATTCCTGCTCCTCTTGTGACCTGCTCCCTGCTACTGAGGGGATCCTTGTTTCACCTCACTGTCAGGAAGACTGAAGAGGGAATCAAGAGGAAAACATGACAGGACAACCCTCTCTTCAGCCTTTTGTCGGTCATGGGGGCTGAACTCTGGGCCTGGGCGCTGTCCCTCAGCTCTTCAGCTCAAGACTAGCACTCTACCACTTGAGCCACAGTACCACTTCTGGCTTTTTTTTTTGCTTATGTGGTTTTGAGGAATCAAACCCAGGGCGAGGCAAGCACTCTACCACTGAGCTACCTTCCCAGACAGGCTTTTTGTAGAAGTTCAGTGGATTTGGTTTATCTACAGCCCTTCCAATGTTGTAAGTCCTACATCTGCCAGGACTCCCTTACCTAACTCTCTCTTTCTCTCTCCCTCTCTCTCTGTCTCTCTCTCTCGTTGCAGTACTGAGTCTCTCCCTCTCTCTCTGTCTCTCTCTCTCGTTGCAGTACTGAGGTTTAAACTCAAGGCTTCATGCTTGCTAGGCAGGCACTCTACCACTTGAGTAATACTACTAGCTCTTAGACTGTGGTCTTAGACTATGATCCTCCTAAGGGCTCCTAAATTTTAAGTGTGTACAACCATACCTGGCTTATTGAGATAGGATCTTACTTTTTCCAAGTTTGCCTTGAACTTTCATCCTTCCAATCTCCATCTCCTGAGTAACTGTGATCACAGGCATGAAGCACCATGCCCATCTTTCACGCATTTTGTAGGATGGAGTTCTTAGAAGCTCAGTGAAGTGAAAGCCTGATCTAGACTCTGCAACCTATTTTCCCTCAAGTCTTCACCTAATACCAGCGACATTGCCACTTCCTTTGTTCAGCTATTTGTGCCTCTCAGTTGGCAAAGTAAAATAGTTCACTGCTAGAGATGCAAACATTGGTGGCAGACTTGTGAGCAAGGTAATGAAAAGATTAACACAATCAGGACAGTGGCTGCCTCTCAGGAACAAATGGTGACACAGCTGAGGAGGGCACATTGGGAGTTTCCATAGTATACACCCCATTCAAGGAGGTGGTACACAAGTACACATTGTATAATACTATGGATTGTATGTGTGCATTTAGTATGCTCATATATATGTTTTTTAATTAAAAACACATCAAATAATTAATGGGTACAGAGGACTAAGCTTTTGTTAACCAGAAGACAAGTGGATAGGAGTCACAGAATCAAATTTTAGCACAACCTAAGGTTGCACCTGTATAGTATAGATGACCACAGCCTGACAGCAATCTGGCCTATCTCAGATGAGTATATTCACACACACATAATGCTGGATCATAGCTCCTTGGAGACAACTTAGGTAAGAGGGATTTGAAATTGTAAACATGGACATCTTGACCCTTTAATGACAGAACCACAGCCCATGTAACTGGGATTGAATGCTTTGTTCTGCATGGAGAAAGAAATGTGCAGATGTTTCAATGTGTGCTTTCCTTACCTTGCTGCAGGGTGAATGTCCATCAGAGCTGGGAAAATGAGTCAACTGTAGCATCTGTAGCTCCACTAAACCATAGTGTACTTTTTCATGACCTTGGTTAGGTAGGGAACTATTAGGGAAAACCTTAAGACTATGTTTCAACTCATATGTGAATGAAGAAAGCCACACACTTACTTGTAAGAGAAGACACATATCTACCAACCTCCCTACCTTAGAAGGACTGGCATGTAGCTAGAGTAAAGTATCTTGTGATTCATACAAATAAGCAAAGAAAACTTTACAGACTATACCCTTCCCCATATGGTGTTTGTTCAATTTTCCATATTCTCTTTAAACCATCACAAACTATTTCCTAGCAAAAATACAGTATCATATACATGTATGCATAAAGGTACTCATCCATCCATTTACCTATTGGTAAGAGGCCAAGCTATACAATCCAGGCTGGTTGTTAGAGCTATGTGGATCAATCAGAACAGAAAAGCACCCCCTATTTTTCCTTAGAAGCATACCTTAATTTTTGGAGTCTTTCAATTTCTTCCATTTTCAGTTCATTCAGCTCCTTTTCCCTTCGAGAAGTTTCAGCATCAAGCCAGTCAAGTCTAAAGGACAGAACAATCAAGTCTCTTCAAGTTAGGATTCCCTTGGGTACTAATCTTGGAGCTAATGTAGGCTACTCAGGTGGGGCTTCAGAGTCTTTTAAGGAGTCTTTTAGGCATAAGAAGCATGGCTACACCTAAACAATCCACATACACTTTTTTAAAATAAGTTTTTTATTGTGAAAATACTGTACAGAGGGGTTACAATTACATGAGTAAGGTAGTGAGTACATTTCTCATCAAGCATTGTTGCCTCCTCCTTTGTTTTTCCCCTACCATCTCTTCCCTCCCATGTCCACGATTATACTCCCCGCCCCTCCCCACTTCCCAATACACTCACTATTAAAAGAGCTAGATGGCCAGCCACTAGTGGCTTGTACCTATAATCCTAGCTACTCAGGAGCTAGGATAGTAGTAGCTAAGGATAGTAGTTTGAAGCCAGCCCAGGTAGGAAAGTCCATGCAACTCTTATCTCCAATAAACTACCTCCCAAAATGCCAGAAGTGGAGCTCTGGCTCAAGTGGTAAAATGCTAGCCTTGATCAAAAAAAACCTCAGAGACAGCACCTAGGCCCTGAGTTCAAGCCCCAGGACCAGCACAAAAACAAAAATCAAAACAAAAAAAGCTGGATGAGATAAAAATGAGCCTGGATAATGTAGAAATGAGCCTAAATAACAAATATTTAGCCAAGTGCCAGTGGTTCATGCCTGTAATCCTTGATACTCAGAAGGCTGACATCTCAGGATTGCACTTCAAAGCCAGCCCAGCGTGGCTCAAGTGGTAGAGTGCTGGCTTGAGCAAAAGAAGCTCAGGGACAGTACCTAGGCTCTGAGTTCAAGCCCCATGACTGGCAAAAAAAAAAAAAGCCAGCACAGTCACCAAAGTCCATGAGACTCTTATCTCCAATTAACCACCGGAAATCCAGAAGTGGAGCTATGGCTCAAGTGGTGCCAGCCTTGGGTGAAAAAGCTCAAGGACAGTGCCCAGGCCCTGAGTTCAAGTCAAAACTAACACTAAAACAAAATAAAAATAAACAAAAATAAATATTTACCTCTCTTTTTGGATCCTATCCATTTCTTTGGCTTTTAGTTCTTCTAGTTCCTTCAGTCTTTTGGAAGCCTCAGCATCAAGCCAAGCAAGCCTAGTAGAGAGTACTGAGTCAATAATGCCTCTATGCACAGAAACAAAGAGTATGAGGGACCCCTGCCCCCACCCCAGTCTCAGCACCAATCTGGCCCCATTAAGGACTCTGTAGGTATTGTAATGTCTCTGTGCCCATAAAGCTTTCCACACCATGTTCCCTAAAAAGAGAAATTCACACATAGAAAGTGCTTTGAGTTAGTATGTACAACATCAAGGTCTGTAGACAAATGCTCTTGAGAGCTATCCATCACTTAGGACTTCTTTTTCATGCTACCAGCATCTAACTATTAAGGGCTTACTGTAAGGAGTCCTTTAAAACAAAGCTCTTGTGCAACTTACTTTATACAAAGAAAAGGTCCCCCATGTAGGTGAAGTCAAATAAGAACAAAAGGGAAAAGTTAACTCTAAACAAATGTACTGTATACGAAAGGGCTTTGATTTTTTTTGGTTTAGGAGATGTGAACAGACTAGTCAACCTTTTTAAGGTGGTGGGACTGACCCAGGGCCCTGTGCATGTTATGCAAATGTTCTACCACTGAGCTATGCACTCAATGCTAATGACCCACTTTCATTCTTGCTTCCCCCAATTATAGAAATAATTTCAGCCACACAAATGTACAGCGAGCTGTTTTCACTCCTCTCTTCCTTTGGAATGCTCTCAGCATCCAGCTCCCTCCATATTTAAATCCTGCTAGTCCTAGTTTGATTCTGACTTCCCTCTGTGAAGCCTAGCTCTCTGCAACAAGAAGTAACCTCTTCCTGTCCTAAACACTCTCAGTTCTTAGGATGCATATCAGATTCAACCTTAAATTACAGATCATTTACATGTCTTTCCTGCTGACTGTAATTAAGCAAAGCCTAGGGTTAGGTCTTATTTGCCCTTTTACAAAAAAGTCTCCTTGGGCTGGGAATGTGGCTCAGTGGTAGAGTATTTGCCTAGCACCCATGAAGCCCCGGGTTCGATTCCTCAGTACCACATAAACAGAAAAAGCTAGCCTTGAGCAAAAGAAACTCAAGGACAGTGCGTAGGCCCTGAGTTCAAGTCCCATGACTGATTAAAAAAAAAAGGCTCCATAGACTTCATAGCTGTGCCATGTACAAAATGAGCAATTGACATATATGCAATATCTGAATGATGAAATAAGGAATAAAAGAGGGGCTCCTTGATAGTCATAGAATGTTACAGATAAGTTGAGCAATCTACATTTTAAATAACCAACTTTAGACACAGGTTAAAACAAGACAGTTTCAGTCTATGTAGTAATCCTTTAATTTTCAAAGATTTGAAAAACACCAACACAAACCTATCTGCTTCATGCCAGACAGCATCTCTCAAATGACAGCCCTCTTGGCTATCTTCTTGCTGGAATGACTGTTCTTTTGGAGCATCTCTGGGGCTAGATTTCACCTTTAACCATGCAGCACTGTACAAAATAGAAAAGTATACCTTTGTGATCATCCACTCCATGTCCAGTGACTCATCCAAAGGAGCCTACTCAGGGAAGACAAGCATTAGGGTAATGCTGATTGATAGCATGGAACCTCTACACTGGAATCCGAACAGAAGAGGGATCCCTTCTAGAAGTTCAATGTCAAAGGGGGAATTCCCTTCGCTTCAAGAAGTAGATACTACTTCAAATGACAAAATGTCAGAGATTTAACATATCGATTTGCATTCACTAAGAATATTCCATGTAATATTCCCTATTCTTATATACATTGTAATTATAAGGCCTAACAGCACTGTGTGCCAGGAAGCCTCATATTCCCCTATTAGCTATACATACCTTCTTCCTGAGGTTGTGTACACAGCCCACCGTCTACTTGGTTTGTGATACAAACTTTAACCCATTGAGCCTTTTAATCTTACCAACAGAACTCATATTTTCTATATTAATATTCACAAATAAATTACAGAAACCAGAACATTGTAATAAAAACAAAAGAAAGCACCCTATGCTACAACCTGATTGTGGTCACAGCTCTGCTACATAAGCAGACTTAGGCTGTAGCATTGCTTCTTTCACTTTGCAGTGAGGGCTGGTAGGTAAGTATCACTTGACTGACCCACTGAGATCATAGGGGAAATCCATCAAAGCAGGCTATTCATTTTACCTCTACAGCCCCGCCCCCCCCATCACCTACTTTTTCCCTGTCCTTCTCAGTCCTCCTCACATTACTGCTATTTGTTCTACTTCCTTGTCCTGTTTACTATGTTGTCAAGAACAACTGAATCATGATAACTAAGCTCCCCTTTACTGTTAACCAAGTCCTCAAAAGACTATTTCTTGACAGAACCCTGCTTCTTGAGGACCATACTGTCCCTCTAGCAGCTTCAGATTCTCCTGTTTCATGAACTGGAATAATGCTGTCAGCATTATCCCTGCAGTCAGGGAGCTCTGGATGGTTTTACAGTTCATAATAATCGACTTGGAAGTAAATTTTTTTTAAGTATTTACTCATTAGGCAAAGATTTAGTGAATGCCTATTGTATCTAGGCATTGGATATTAAATATAAGATGCAGTATGGTGGCCCAAACCTGTTATCCTAACTCTTCAGGAGGCTGAGATCTGAGAAATTAAGTTCAAAGCCAATCCAAGCAGACAAATCTCCAAGACTCTTATCTCCAACTAATCAGCAAAAACCTGGAAGTAGAGGTAAGGCTCAAGTGGTAGCATGACAGACTTGAGCAAAACAAGCTAAGAGACAAGCTGGTTACCAGTGGCTCCCGCCTATAATCCTAGCTACTCAGAAGGGCTGAGATCTGAGGATCACAGTTCAAAGCCAGCCTGGGCAGTAAAGTCCATGATATTCTTATCTCCAATTAACCACCAGAAAACTGGAAGTGGCGTGGTAGTTCAAGTGGCAGAGTACTTGCCTTGAGCTGAAGAGCTTAGGAACAGCACCCAGGCCCAGAGTTCAAGCCCCACAACTAACACTAACACTAACACACAGACACAGACACACACAGACACACACAGACACACACACAGACACACACACAGACACACACACAGACACACACACACAGACACACACACACACAGACACACACACACAGACACACACACACAGACACACAGACACACACACACACACACACACACACACCAGTGTCTTGCTTCAAGTAACTAGAATCTATTGGGGAAAAGAGACAAGGAAAACCCATGGTCCTCCCTGCAATGAGACATGGTCCAAGGAAGAAGCCCCATGGAAGGCCTCTCCAACCACAGTAAGGTAGAAAAAGGAACAACAGACTTCTGGACTAAAAAATTTTCATATGCTGTTTGCCCAAATGAGCATTTCTTCTTAATGAGAAGAATTAATACTGCTAGTCCAGAAAAATAAAAACATATATTCAAACCTTTGAATTTTACCTACCACTTAGGAGATGCTGGTGGGGATGTGGGATTGGGAGGTATCCAAGGTGCCCTCTGGTCTTTCACAGGCTGTCTGTTCATTTTCATTCTGGATGAGACTGTTGTCTGTTGCAGCCTGCTTTTGTTGTGCGGTTGGTTTGGTTTACTTCTTTCAGTTTTGTGGAGTCCCTAGAAAAGGTAAATGTGAATTACAAGGCTGAATAAGTTGGACACTCTGTGTTCAAATTCTGACTCATTAGAGCCCTAGTGCCTCTATTTATTCAGCAAAACCTCACAGTGGCACAATGGCAGAAATCTGGGCAAGTGTCTAAAGTATACAGAGGCAATCCTGGGTGGGAAGGAGGAGGAAGTGGAAATGGAAGCTCTGGTTTTACTACTCATACACACATTTATTTTATTTGCATTTCTCCTAACTAAAGCCCCCAGTTTTTACTCCATATTATTTAAGATAAGCTGTAAAATATTTGTGTATGTATGTGTGTATGTGAGTGTGCTGGTACAGGGGCTTGAACTCAGAGCCAAGGAGTTGTCTCTTAGCTTTTTCACTCAAGGCTGTTGCCAAGTACTACTTGAGCCATAGCTCTACTTTGGCTTTTGAGTGGTGGTTAATTGGAGATAATTCTCAGACTTTTCTGCCCAGGTTGGCTTCAAACCACAATCCTTAAATTTCAGCATCCTGAGAAGACAGGATTATAGATAGGTATGAGCCACTGGCATGCAGCAAGCTGTAAAATATTCTTGGTTAAAATACTTATCCTCTCTGATCCTTAGTTCTAGGTAGAATAAATTGAGCTATTTTTAAGTGTCAGAGTATGAGCTTTATCTCTAGAGAGGAACATCAAGCTGAATGCTTACACGCTTACTCCTGACTCTCCAATTAACTCATTATGAGTTTCTTTGTGGAAGCAAAAAGACCTGATCTATGAGTAAATGATGAAAACCATGAACTTCCTCTTTCCAGGTCTACTTCACAATGCATAGATTAGCTACAGAAACCTCTGGACCCTACCACTGAACCCATCACTGCAGGAAGAGATCTAAGACCAGAGGACTGGTTCTACCTATTTTCTATCATAGGACCTTAAGGTCCTACAACTGCCTGGCAGTTGTAAATAGAAGTCTTGCAACCCAAGTCCTAACTACCTGGCTGGATCCCAAAGCCATAAAAAGCATGCTCTTAAAAATGTGTTTAATATTTAATGATTATTATTAATCAACATTTATCTTCAGCAGGAAAAAAATCTTAAATCATCTCAAATTTCACACTTCATGGTGTCAAGTTAGTTAGGGCATGGTGTCAAATTAGATAGGCAGAATGCCTGCCCTGGTTTTTGTTAAAGCATAAAAATACTCAGGAGCTAAGCAAAGTCAGCTTAGATTGCTGGACTCAAGGATCTGACTTCCAACTGCCAAAAAACCAAAATACTATCCAGGTGCTGTAGTCCTAGCTACTCAGGAGGCTGAGGTGTGAGGATCAGAAATTGAAGCCAGCCTGGGTAGGAAGGTCCCCAAGGTTATTATCTCCAATTAAGTACCAAAAAATCCAGAAATGGAGCTGTAGCTCAAGCAGTAGAATTCTAGCCTTGACAAAAAGCCCAGGACAACATACAGGCCTTGAGTTCAAGCCCTGATAACAGTGTGTGCATGCATGCGCGTGCGTGCACACACATACACACACACACGAGAGAGAGAGAGAGAGAGAATATGTTGGCCCCTCTCCCTTGCTGGGGTGAATGACCTTGAGCAATGTCAGATTAACTCAAAAGTACCAAAGGAAAGGAATTATTTCATACTTGCTGTAGTCTTGCTGGCTCCAGAGGATCTTTCTTTCTAAAGGGCAACTTCTCAGTCATAGGCTTCTTTTTGACTGCTGCTGTTTTTGCCAGGGTCAATGCCTCGTCTCTGCAGTTTGCATTGTGGTCCAGAATAAATGGGTCTTCCTCCGGAAAAATATCAGCATCAAACTCATCAAGCTCACTCTCCAACCTCTGACTCATTGGAAGCTCTGTATCAGGCTGACACTTATCTACACAAACATGTCAGAAGAGTAAACAGAGACAATTCTATTCAAACTTCATAGGTGAGAATGTAACAGGTCTACCCATGCTGGAAATCAAGGTGTGTGGCCAAATGTGCTGCTCTTCTGATAACCACTATACAACTTGATAAGCATGCACCCAGGCATCATGGTTGACTCCTTGGATCTTAGTTCCTACATTCCCTGTAACTCTAAAGTATCTTTGAACCAATTCTGTGTTCCTTTTTCTTTTGCTTGACCCTAGGACGTCCTGGTCTCTGAACTACAATAAGATTATCCCCTTACCCAGTCCACTGCTGATCTCACTCACACAGCAACTGTCTTTCTAAACTGGAAAAATTTTAAATGCTGTGCCTCTATTCAACAACTAAAACAGAAACTAATTTGATGCAAAATAAAGTATCATCAATGAACTCCATGCATGACATTCAACCTGTTCTGGCAAATACAACTGTCTTTATTTGAAGAAGAAATAAAGACCTATATAGAAAATCCAAGGATCAGACATGGTAATGTACACTGATAATCATAGCTACACAGGAAGTAGAGGAAGGAGGATTGAGGTTCAAGGCCAGTCAGGAAAGAAAGCTAGTGAGACTCTATCTCAACTAACAAGCTGAGTGTAGTAGACTGTAATGCCAGATATACAACAAGAAGCATAGGTAGGAGGCTCTCACTCAGAGGAAGGCCTAGGGCAAAAAATTAAAGTACTATCTGAAAAATAACTATAGCAATGAAGAGCTGGAAATCTGGCTGAAGTGGTAGGCCATCAGACTAACAAGCACAAGGCCCTTAGTTCAAACCCTACTACTACTGGAAAATTAAAAAAAATAAAATAAAATAACAATTCAGGCTAGAAAGGTGGCTCAGTGGTAGAGTGTTTGCCTTGCATGCATGAAGCCCTGGGCTCCATTCCTCATGCACCACATAAGCAGAAAAAGTCAGAAATGGCACTGTGGCTCAAGTGGTAGAGTGCTAACCTTGAGCTGAAGAGCTGAGGGACAGCACCCAGGCCCAGAGTTCAGGCCCTAAGACCAACAAAAAAATAAAAAATAATAACAATTCAAGAAAGAGAAACTCTTGCTCCTAAGAAGAAGGCTCATGAAGATTTCTAGATATAAGAAGATGAATACAACCGGGTGCTGGTGGCTCACACCTATAATCCTAGCTACTCAGGAGGCTGAGATCTGAGGATCATGGTTCAAAGCCAGCCAGGGCAGGAAAGGCCGTGAGACTCTTATCTCCAATAAATCACTAGAAAACCGGAAGTAGTGCTGTGGCGCAAGCAGTAGAGCGCTCACCTTGAGCTGAAGAGCACAGGGACAGCGCCCAAGCCCAGAGTTCAAGCTCCACAACTAACAAAAAAATAAAAACGATGAATACAAAAGCCAGTATCCCCACATATCCAAACAGTGAGTAGAAAATGTGAGGAAAAAAATATTCTATTAATGTTGGCAACAAAAACTGTAAGGCAGGGTTTGGGATGTAGTTTAGTAGTACACTTACCTAGTATTCCAACCTTGGCACTGAAAAATAAAAATAAAAAATCCCCCCAAACTATATGGCAATTAGGAAAAAAAATCTAATGAAACATGTACAAGGCTTCTACAGAACAAAAGTCAAAGTTTTTTAATTTAATTTTTGCAGTACTGGGGATCAAACCATGGACCTTATGCATATCAAGTAAGAGTTCTACCACCAAGCCACATGACCAGCTCTTAAAAGATATTTTTAAGGAATACAGAAGAAAATCTGAATAAATTATTTTCATGAATGAACAGACAATATGGTAAAGATGTCGATTTGCCATAAAGTAATTTGTAAATTCAATTAAAACCAATTTGTGTGTCTATGTATGCAAAAACAGTCTGGTCCTAAAATTCACTGAACAATAAAATCCCACAAAGAACAATGAAGTAGGAGTATTGTGGATATGGAAATCTTTCTTCATCAGAGATGAAGTCTCATGAGCTATGCTGATTATGGCAATGTGGCAACGTGGGAATCAATGAAATAGGGTGGATAAGACAAACAGTGCAGGTAGGCAGATCTCTTCAAAACAGTTCTAAGGAACCCTACCCTCATACTGAACAACTCTAACTTCCAAATGAAATGAAAATTACATGTGGAAAGAAAATCCTAAAGCTTTAAGAAGAAAACATAGAAGACATCATTATATCAGCGCATAAAAAACTTTAAGCCCAAATACAATACTGACATATTAGAATTTAATGATATTAAACGACAACTATGAACAAAAAGCCACCATAAGCACAACACACAATCCAAAGTCTAGAAGTCAGTATGTAGTGCATACAATTATCAAGGGAGTAACATCTCGATGATACAGCAAGCTTCTACAAATCTGTAAGAAAAATAAATAATCCAATAGAGAGAGAAATAGGCCAAGGACTAAAAACCAGCTATTTAGACAGAAAATATGAGCTGTCAATAAAAATATAAACAGATACTTGACTTTACTTAGTAATCAGAAAGATTCCCTTTCTTACTCATTAGAGTTGGGGGTGACAATCCTGAGAGAATAAGGAGGGCAAAAGAAGTATGCTCACAAACTACCCAGGGGTTAATCAGCCCAACTACTGGGGAGGCAGCTTGTTGCTCTGGTAAAGTTGAAGACTTTTACACTGTAGTCCAGACATTATCAGTATACACAAAGCCAGGAGGAACTCTCACCTGCATACACAGGGAGCTAGAAACACAGATTTACTTCACTTTACCATTGCTTATAAAAGCAAAACCACCTAGCTAGCATGGAGGCATTTCCTATAGTCCCAGCTACTCAGAAGGGTGAAGCAAGAGGATCACTTAACCCCAGGAATTATGGGCTAGCCTGATCAGCACAGTGAGACCTTCTCTCGTCTATATATACTAAGTCAAAAAGCTGGGGAAAACCCAATGTTAAATAAGAATGTTAAATAAGGGAAACTTCCCTTATATGAATATACCAAAGTTTATTTTTCAAATCCTAAATTTAGGATGCAGGACAGGAGCTGGGAAGGTGGCTCAGTGGTAGAGTGCTTGCCTTGCATGTATGAGGCCCTGAGTTCGATTCCTCAGCAAGACATAAGCAGAAAAAGCTGGAAGTGGCGCTGTGGCTCAAGTAGTAGAGCCTATCTTGAGCAGAAGAGCTGAGGGACAGCACCCAGGCCCAAAGTTCAGGCCCCACAACAGACGAAAAAAAAACAAAAACAAAAAACTTAGAATTCATTGGGAAGGAGATGTAGCTCAATGTTCTGCCTAATATATCTAAGGCCTTGGGATCAATCCCCAGCATCAGCACTACAAAAAAATAAAATAAAACAAAAAGAACATTAATATAAACAAATCTTATAAACACAAGTGGAAAGGAAGAAAATTGAAAGACTGTCATATTGTAAAATGAAGCATGAAACAATACTTCATATTGCTTATAGATAGATATAAGCAGTGCAAATATGGGAAAAAAAGAACAGGCTCTAAGAATAATAATAGCAGCTTCTAAGGGTGAGAAATTGAATGAGGAAAAATGTATTAAAGCGAGTTCGACTGTACCAGTCATATTTTATTTTTGAAAAAACAAGTCCCAGAGCTAATAAGGCAAAATTTTAAAATCTGACACAACGCTTATTATTTTCACTTCTTTGTACATGCAAATATTCCACCATTAAAGGAAAACTTGCTGAGAACATGGATCAAGTGGTAGAGTACCTGCCCAGTAAATGTAAGGCCCTGAGTTCCAACCCCAGTACTGCCAAAGGAAAATTCCATTGACTTCTTTAGCAGCAAAGTCAAAGGTCTGGCTCCTTGCATCACTTCTTTGGTCACACATTTGTCAAACTACAGAAATTACACAGCAAGGAAACAGGCTAAGAGCAAATCCTTAGGCTGTAATTTACTTACAAACATGGAACAACTCTGACCTTCCGGTGCCAACATATTTACAGTAATGATCTGTATCAATTAGAATGCAAATGCAGTAGTTTCAGGGACAGCTGAGTAGGACTGCTGTTGGTGAAGAGGGACCCACTACTGTATTACTTTTTATAAGTGACACTAATGCAATCAACCAACTACTGCAAGAACATTTTAGAAGCCACTAAAACCTGTACCAGCCAACAATTATGTAAATCACCATAGTTGATCCAATCAGACTTAATCACATAGGCTCAATTACACACCCCAAATAAAGAAGGTACAAAGACAGATTTCATCCATGTGGCTTCCCATGACATTTTTAGGGGTTGGGTAGAAGAATTGGGTGGGGAGGATAAAGTTTAGAAAATGAGAATGAAGAATTATACAGTGTGTACCTTCGGACATACATAAGAACAAGAAAAATAAACAAAAGCTATCACATTCTTTGTGAGTAAATATATTAACTTTCAAAGCAGTTAACTAAAACCATACCTCAACTGATAAGATGATGATAATGATGGTTATTACCATGCTTCGGTTTTGCACATATTTTCCACTGAGACACTAATTCATATGCACCATCTTGTTTGAGCCTCAGCATGACACAATACAAAGCAGGCAGGGCAGAATTACTAAGATTCTCAGGAAATATAGTTCAGTGTTTTGCTTGAGGAAGTGAGGAGAGCAAATAGCAGAGCCACATCCTCTGACTTTGGGTCCAGGGCTAGGCAATCCACTCTGTACTGTCAGGGATTGTTTTCCACATGGACACTTTGTCCAAAGAATTGAAGCTTCCTATTTCATGCTCATAAAACTCATTTATTATCATGTTAGGGCCTAACATAAGCTAGCCTTTTTAACAGATGGATATTATTATGAACTAAAATAATATATCTGCAAAGCACACAGCAATGATCTAATCTGCTACTTACAAAGGAGAATTATCTCCCTTTGATAGATGAAACTTGAAGAGTTTAGAGTGATGAAGTCAACCTAGGATCACAAACCAACTGAGAGGCAGGACTAGAATCTAGGTCTTCTTGTCTACATTTTCCCATTTATCTCTGACCTTCCTATATTTGTCCTATGACAAATTTTCAATTAGTAGGTTTTACAGCTTCCCTGTGATCCTCACTTCTTTGTGGGCCCTCACTTTTCACTTTAATCTTCTAGCTCATTTAGGAAAACTTATCTCTAGTACAGGCCTGGAATATCTCTGTACTTCTTCCAGAGCTCCCCCACAGCACCCACAATTCAACTACCTTTTATTTATTTATTTTTATTTTATTTTTTTACCAGTCCTGGGGCTTGAACTCAGGGCCTGGGCACTGTCCCTGGGCTTCTTTTGCTCAAGGCTAGCACTCTACCACTTGAGCCACAGCACCACTTTAGGCTTTTTCTGTTGATGTGGTACTGAGGAATCTAACTCAGGGCTTCATGCATGCTAGGCAAGCTCTCTAGCACTGAGCCACCTTAGTTACAGAGGTGTAGAGATATATGGTCATGATACTTGACCTCCAAGGAAAAGGTGGCAGAGGCAACTTTCTGAGTGAAAGGAAGGTGCTATACTAGTTCTATCTCCAATCAATGAAGCAGAAAGAACATCCTACCATAGGGAATAAATATACAGTACTAATTCTGTAAGTTAGGCTTAGTCACTGAGCCTATATAATAAGTGTGTTCACACACACAAACATACCTCTCTGCCCCAGTTTGTTTGTTTGTTTTCCTTTTTTCTTTTTTTCAGTCAGTGAGGGCCTGAACTCTGGTACCTGGGCTCTGTCCCTCAGCTCTATACCTCAAGGTTAAAGCTCTACCACTTGAGCCACAGTGCCACTTCCAGCTTTTTTAATCAATCAACTATGCCTACATGATGAGTCCTCCATATGAATCCCTAGGCGGTGTGGCTCAGGTAATTTCTGGGTTGCTGCATACAGGCAAGATCCTAGAAAGTGATGAGGCCAGAGAGGTCAGAGAAGTTCTGTACTCCCCTCGCTTTCTCCCATCTGGATGCTCATGTGTTCACTGTCTTTCATAATATGTGGGTAAATGGAGGCAAGGCCGTCCTGAGTTTTGGGAGCACACCTGGCTTGAGAGTAGCCATCTACAACCCTGGGTGGCTGAGTCCTCTTCTCCTGGCAGTCAGTATCAGAACTGAAGTGGATTAGGAAGAGGAAGACTACACAACATGGAGACCCATGTGACTGGGAGGATTGCTTTCCTCTCCAAAGCTTCAGACTTCAAGACTACACTGACAAGTAACTTGCCTATCACTGAAGAAGAAAAACAAAACAAGAAAACCTTGGTTAATGAAGTAAATTACAACACAGAAAAAGAAAAATCTCTGGGAAACAGAATAAGGTAAAAGGAAATTCAACATGTTATTAATTTCAGTAAATCTAAGTAGGTCAAATATAGAACTTTACCACAGTGTTTTAAAACAAATAAACTGCTTATAGGATATTCTTAAAGCCAGGTGCTGGTGGCTCACGCCTGTAATCCTAGCTACTCAAGAGGCTAAGATCTGAGGATCATGGTTCAATGCTGGCCTGGGCAGGAGACTCTTATGTTCAATAAACCACCAGAAAACCGGAAATGGTACTTATGGCTCAAGTGGTAGAGCGCTCACCTTGAGCTAAAGAGCTGAAGGACTGCACCTAGGCCAAAGTTTAAGCCCTACAACCGACCAAAAAAAAAGATAATAAAAATTTCTAAGAAAATGTCTTCCACTGTTGGTGGAAACATAAAACGATAAAACTACTTTGATGGGGCTTGGAAGGTGGCTCAGTTGTAGAGTGTTTGCCTTGCATGCATGAGGCCCTGAGTTTGATTCCTCAGCACCACATAAGCAGAAAAAGCCAGAAGTGGTGCTGTGGCTCAAGTGATAGAGTACTAGCCTTGAGCTGAAGAGTTCAGGCCCCACGACCAACCAAAAAAAAAAAAAAAAACTACTTTGAAGAAAAAAACAAAAACAAAAACCCTTTATTCCACCCGAACAAACATATACCCATTAACTCCATTATATTCTCCAGCTGAGGGTGTAGTTAAGTGGTAGAGCACTTGCCTTGTATGCACAAAGCCCTGAGTTCAATCCTTAGCACTACAAAAAAAAAGGGAATACCCCCTAATTTCAGAACTCTTCAATTGTGTACCTCAGATTGAATAATACCTACTATCACAATGCAGTATCATAATAAGCAGCAACAATTCATAATGTAATAAAAAGATCCCATTCAAAACAGTAATAAGAGCTAAAAAATATAAAAACTAGACATAAAACTTAGCAAGGAATGGCTAATACTTCTATGTAGAAAACTATAAAATTCAACAGAAGGAACACAAAGAGGGATGAATTAGAAGGATAGAAAACTCTACATTTATATGGGCTGGGAAGGTGGCTCAGTGGTAGAGCGCTTGCCTTTCATGCATGAGGCCCTGGGTTCGATTCCTCAGCACCACATAAGCAAAAAAAAAAAAACCAAAAACCAGAAGTGGCGCTGTGGCTCAAGTGGTAGAGCGCTAGCCTTGAGCTGAAGAGCTGAGGGACAGCGCCAAGTCCCAGAGTTCAGGCCCCATGACAGGACCCCCCCCGCCCCCCAAAAAAAGAAAACTCCACATTATAAAGACATAATTTCTCCTCTAATTCAGCTATGAACTCAATGTAAAGCCAATCAAAATGCCAATCACATGTTTCATGGAACTTGATAAGCTCAATTAAATTTCCCAGGAGGATAAGCAATGATCAGCAGCAAAACTTTAAAAATAAAAGCAAGAAAGAACTGCCTATCAAGTATTAAAATGTATACAGAAGATTGATGGACTTGTCTATAAAATTATATGTGTGTGTGTGTGTGTGTGTGTGTATGTGTTTGTGTTTTTTAACCAGCTAAAAGTATCACAGAAAATTTCAAAGATAAGTGACTAAGTAGTAGAAGAGTCAAAAAAGATTAAGGTCCAGACTACATAAAGAACTTGAATCCGCTAATAAGGAAAGCGGTAGAAGCGGACAAGTGAGATGAGCACAGGATACAAACAGCAGAATCACAGTAGAGAATGAACATGGCTAAGGGGTACGTGACAACTTTAACCCTGATCAGGAATCATGAGATGCAATATGAAACTCTAGGATGGTATTTTCCCCTCAGAGATTTAAAAATAATAATTTTGTTATGTAAAGCATTAAGTAGGAAAACGTATACTAATGCATTGCTAGTAAAAATATAATTGTAGTTAGGCACCAGTGGCTCACACCTGTAATCCTAGCTACTCAGGAGGATCTGAGGATCACAGTTCAAAACTAGCCCAGGCAGGAATGTCCATGAGATTCTTAGCTCCAATATACCTACCAAAAGGCTCAAAGTGGAGATGTGGCTCAAGTGGCAGAATGCTAGCTTTAAGCAAAAAAGCTCAGGGTCAATGCCAGGTGCAGTCAAGCCCACAACCAGTACAAAAAACAAAATAAAAAACCCCACCATAATTATACACCCACTTTTTTTGGGGGGGGAGGGTGGGGTCCGGTCATGGGGCTTGAACTCTGGGCCTGGGTGTTGTCCCTCAGCTCTTCAGCTCAAGACTAGTGTTCTACCACTTGAGCCACAGCACCACTTCCGGCTTTTTTTTTTTGCTTGTGGTGCTGAGGAATCGAACCCAGGGCCTCAGGCATGTAAAGCAAGCGCTCTACCACTGAGCCACCTTCCCAGCCCAATATATGCCCACTTTTAAGAGACAAGTTGGCAATATGTATCTAAATGTACATATTCTATAACTTAACAATTTCACATCTTAAAAATAATGTATTACTTATGTGAAAAACACATATATATATATAATATGCCTATACATGTGTGTATATATATATATATGAATATGTATATGTTTATGTGTATGTATGGCTATGTATGTATTTACCATTAAAATATACTAAGTTTAAGCTATGATGTAGAAAAAGGGAATGATACTTTGTCCACAAGCCTCTACAGTAGAATATTTCAGCCTCAATGGCAGCATGTTGGTTGGTATTTACTGATGCAAGTTAAACTGTAGCTCTTAATTCTGAATGTCCCCTCAGTGAAATAACTGTTAAAGTTTAACTGCAATAACAATGTAAGACACATACCAATAAGAAGTTTTTTCACAGCTGAAGGCCGATTTGTTTCCTGTGGAAGCATCTCCTTCGTTATGAGGGGTCTCTTCTCACTCTTGGCCAATGTTGTTGGCCACTTCTCTATGGGCCTTTGGCTCCCTATAGGAAATTTGCTCCGATTTTCACTGAAGCATTTCTTTACCTTCTTCGGTGTCATCTTCTTTTCCAGGAGAGATTCCAAAGCCTACTATGAAACAGTCCATTATTCTCTTCACTTTCCCCCCAAAAGTATGATTTTTTTTTTTAGTCCCAAACTGAAAAATACAGACTCTAGAGAAAAGTGTTAAGTGGCTCTCTTGGTTAATGAAATATTTACCTAACAGAAATATTACTTAGGACGTGTGAAATTAATAATTTCTACAAATTCTTTTACATGTTTAACTCACTAAAATCAATACAAAGAAATAATATGATTACTTTTAAAGGCATCCAAATCTCAAACTTAAACTTATCATTTTAGAAATTAACTGTGCTCTTTAGAATATAATTGGATATGATTTTAAAGTATTTTAATCCATCTTGACAGGACAAAGTAAAGACAATGGAGTACAGACAGGGATGCTGAGTTCAGACAACAGAAGATGGTAAGCTATGAAATGGTATATCTACCAATAAGAAACACAAATTTCCTACACTACTGAATGTCTTCAAGAGTAGGAGAAATGAACAATGTGTTTAAGATACAAAGGGAGCTAGTTTTAGTGGCTCAAGACTATCTGTAATCTCTCCCAGCTACTCAGGAGGGAGAGATTGGGAGGATTATAGTTCAAGGTGAGCCTGGACAAAAAATTAGGAAGACCTCCCATCTCAACTAATAAGTGAGCACAGTGGTATGTGCTTTTCATCCCAACTACTCAAGAGGCACAGGTAGGAGGATTGGGGCCAAGGCCCACAATGCGTAAAAAACTCAAGTATCTAAAAAATAACCAAAGTGAGAAGAATTGGTGGGCATGTGGTTTAAGTGATAAAGCACATGCTAATCTTGGATTAGGGAGATTATGGCCTCTAAATAGAATCATGTTGGCTAATAAACCAACAAAGCATCACCTGATTTGACAGGCTGTGTGTAAAAACAATAGAAGAAAAATGAAGCCAGGCGTTGATGACTCATACTTGTAATCCTAGCAAATTCTAGCTACACAGGAGGTTGAGAACTGAGGATCAGGGTTTGAAGCCAACCCAGGCAGGAATATCCATGAGACTCTTACCTCAAATAAATTACTCAGAAAAAGCTATAGAAGTGGTAAGTGGCTCAAGTAGTAGAGCACTAGACTTGAGCACAAAGAAGCTCAAGGACAGTGTCCAGGGCCCTGAGCATAAGCCCCAGGACTAAAAAGTGAAGCACTCTTTCTGCCCTTTCACATAGTAGGTAGCAGCTTTGTCTTGTACTCTCATCTACTGAACTATACAACTATCAGCATTACTTCCTGCTTATAAGCAATACACTTTTACGAAAAGCCCGAGTCCATTTCATACCTCAATTTGTTGCAGGATATCTATAACCACATCAGGGATGGAAGGATCGGCATCCAGCTTCACAGAACAAAGTGAAAGCTGGCGAATGAGACTGCCCAGCTCCCTACACCGAGCAGGAATTGGGTGCTCCCCTCGATCAGTAAACTGAGTGACAAACATCTGTAAGGCCCGAATGGCTCCTCGATGGGCAGCAGCCACCCTAGACATTGCCCATGACTGGAATAAACAAAAGGAGTTATTTCAATACTCACAACTTCCCAATACCAACTCATTTTTTTAAAAACTGAAAACGAGCACTCTACCACTTGAACTATACCTCCATTTCTGGCTTTGTCTTTTTGGAGGGTAGTTAATTGGAGATTAGAGTCTCACAGACTTTCCTGCCCAGACTGGCTTCAAACCACCATCCTCAGATCTTAGCTTCTTGAGTAGCTAGGATTACAGGCTTGAGCCACCAGTGCCCAGGAATTTTTAAAGAGTATCATGGTCCCATAGTACCCTCTAGTGTACTTCCTATTGTGAAAACTTTATGCTTCCTAACTTTATAAAGGTTAAAATTGTCTCTAGACAAACTAAATCTTTTTCTTGCTATTCTGTGTTTATACTAGTAGCAAAAATGACAGGAATCTGTTTTCAGAACTCATTCCTCGGATGGCAATCCCACATTAATAATACTGCTCATGTTCTGACAGATTTCTATAAGCACTGATAATAATATTACTTTACAAAACCCATACATAATACTCATAAAACACTTCACAGAAACTTTTAAAAATAAGTATTAATCATAAGCTAATGACATCATACCTTCTTAGTGTGTTTAATTTTTTGTGGACTCAATTTATCTATTTCTTCCTGGATTTCTTTTACCTGTTTTGTAAAGGGAGAAAAATGAAAATGTTATACCTTTACATTAGTCATTTTTTAGAGAAAGATACACCTTGTCTTGTCCAAATACACATTACTATTTCAAGTTGCTTGAAAATGAGAAGTGTTTTTCATTCATGTACCAAAAAAACACTTACTAGCTCCCAGCTGAAGATGGTAAACAGAGCACAGGGTTTCCTTACTTATACACATACACACATGCACACACACATATATACACTCACTCTTAAGGGTTTGAGTTTAATGTGAATCAGGGAAGGAGAAGATATTGTGGAAAACAGGAAAAATAGCTCATAAAAACTTAAATGCCATGCTAAAGAGTTTAGCTATTCCACTCAGAGTTACGGAGAGTCAAGGCAGTCTTTTCAAGTAGAAATCTGACATGGCTTATAACAATCTCAGCAACGAGGACCAAAACACAAGTTAAAAAAACAAACACAGAACTGAATCTCATTCAGCTATTTTCTTTCAAATGAATTGCAGTTCAAGCAATGAAAATGTTATTTTAGTGACCAGAATGGAGTTAGAAGCTCATTAATAAATAAAGCATTGAAGTTAAAACAAGCTGGGTGCTGGTGGCTTACAACTGTAATCCTAGCTACTCAGGAGGGTGAGATGTGAGGATCACAGACAGTTCTAAACCAGCCAGACAGAAAAGTTCATAAGACTCTTATCTTCAATTAACCAGCAAAAAACTTAAAGTGGAGCTGTGGCAAGTGGTACAGCACTAAAATTGAGCAAAAAAGCCAAGTGAGAATGTGAGGTCCTGAGTTCAAAACCCAATATTGGCCCCCAAAAGAAAATAGAATAGAATCAAATAGAATAAGTTAAAAATAAACCTTAAAAATATCTATCACAATATAAAGAACTGTATGCTCGTCAACCACTCAATGTGTCCTGAAAGACACAACAGCTTTTGTTTACTACTGAATAAAGAATAAATCCAGTATATAGTAAACCTGAGACAGATAGGGAAATGACCAAGTCCTATCTCTAAGACTAGGGTGCACACTTGAAAATCAAAGGTTTTGGGACTGATCCACCTGACCTCATTCATATGTGCGAATGTGCTTTGAACAATGAGTATGTTTTCAGTGGAGGGAGTGGCTTTTAAAAGATTCTTAGAGGTCTATAATCTCAAAAGGTCAAGAGCCACTGTTTAAGAAGGAGTTTAGACTATGTTGAAAGTGAACTCTATGGCCAGGCACTAGTGACTCATGCCTGTAATCCTAGCTACTCAGGAGGCTGAGATCTGGGGATCATGGTACAAAGCCAGCCTGGGCAGGAAAGTCCATGAAACTCTTATCGCCAATAAACCACGAGAAAACTGGAAGTGGTGCTGTGGCTCAACTGGTAGAGCACTTGCCTTGAGCTGAAGAGTACAGGGACAGTGCCCAAGCCCAGAGTTCAAGCCCCACAACCGACCAAAAAAAAAAAAAAATGTTCTCTTTACCTGACTTATGTAACTGTAACCCCTCTGTACATCACCTTTATAATAACAATAAAAAATACAAAATAAGGATCTTGGCTGGATGTGCACAGCGTGCACGCGCACGCACGCACACGCGCGCGCGCGCACACACACACACACACGAGAGCGTGCACGTGCATGCATATTCATATAAAGGATAAAAAGGAGAATTAGTTAGCTCCACAAATCCACTAAAAGTTAGGTAAGGCACTTTAGTGTTGGTCTTTCTGATACACAAGGAAATATAAAGAAAGCAACAGAAGGCTAATAGCTCCTCTTCTCCCCAGCTTTCCTCACCTGCTGTTGGAGGACATAGAGCATTCGGGCACAGCGAACAGCCTGCTCCTGCCTTCTGACCTGGACCCGACGCTCCTCATCTGGATCCAGAGCTGCTTCCAGGCCATCTGAAAGATTTTCCCCACAAGGCGGGTTATAAACCACACAGAAATTTTAGTTTCTGTTTTGTTTATTTACTTAGATATATTTTTGTGCTCATTCTAGGGCTTGAACTAAGGGCCAGGGCACTGTCACTGAGCTGATGTAAAATACTCTACTACTTGAGCCACATCTCATTTCAACTTTTTGGGTAGTTAATTGGAAATAATAGACTCATAAGCTCTCCTGCCTGGGCTAGCTTCAAACCACAATGCCCAGATCTCAGCCTCCTAAGTAGCTTAGATTACAAGTGTGAGCCACTGGTACCCAGCAAAAATATACTCTTTTATCAGCCAAATCCCAGGATGCAATAAGTGGCTCTCTGTATTGGGCCACAGATGGTAAGGACATGAAGGCTAGCAAGCTCCCTTCTGCCCTAATTCCCAGAACCAAATCCCACTGGAAAGCTATTTCACTTTGGAGCACTTCTTACTATTAAAACAATTATTTACATTGAGCCAAAATCTGTGATGCTTTTTTCCCCCAGAATACTTTGTTGGACTGTTTATATATTTAACAGGATTATTTTTACACTTTATCTTGATACCAAAAGAGAAATTCTCTGACACATTAAGATAGCAAGTGCTAAAATCATTTGGTTGTCTACAGTTTTCATTTGTCAGGATGCTCTACACTATTAAAAGATTGGCTGAAGCTGATTATTTCTGGAAGATTGGCTGAGGGAGATGCAGTCTACCCAATCCTTCCAGTCTCTGCTTTCCAAATATATTCACACAAACACTTTTAGAAAAATCTAATAAATAAGGCAAGATAGGGTGGCACTTTATTTCATAACTTCAATTTTTGTTATTTATCCACTAAAAGTTGAATGAAGGAGGACAGCACTTGCTTGTTAGCATACATGAGGCCTTGAGTTCAATCACAAGCACCAAAAAATAAACAAACAGGAGGCACGATGGCAGAGTTGTGTAGGCTCAGGGGTATGGGGCCTTTTGCACAGAACTCCACTTCAAGAGAGCACACCAAACTATAAACAAACAGAGCTTTACACCTAACAAGAAAATTCAGAATTTAAGTGTCTCCAAGAAAAAAAAAAAATACACAGAGGAATTTAAGCAGGCAATAGCCTAAGAGCTTTCCTGATTTCTTTTATGTTCCCTCCCCCCATCCCACTCCTGCCCTAACCCTACTCTCCAGTGGCTCAAGCCTCACCAGCAGACAGCAACAATATATGCATAAGTCTTGGAATTGGAAAACACAGCCACAGCAGCATGCAACAGGTCCACCTCTCTCAGAGACAAAGCATTGACACAGGTTGCTACGAATTCAGCGGGGAGTTCTGGACACTCAGTACCCTCCTACCACCCAGGCAATGCCACCAGAGTGGGCCCCAATTACCGGTTGTCATGTCTGCACCTGGGTCCCCCATGAACAACACTCAAAAGCAATCCACGCCTCTCTGTGCAGGGCCCTGATGCTGACCACAGCAACAACAGTGCCCCATAAAAGACCTGTACCTCTCTGCCCTGAACACTGCTGCTGGCCACAGCACCAGGCAGGGAGACTTTAATACCTCACTCTCACTAAAGGACAGGTCAATCAAACAAGATCAGCAAAGAAGCCTCCAAATTAAATGTTATCATAACCCAAATGAACTTAATAGACATCCACAGAATATTTCATGCAACAACCACAAATTCAGATCGTTTTGGGCAGTCCATGGAACCATCTCTAAAACTGATCATATCCTAGGACAGCCAACAAGCCTGAGCAAATGCAATAAGACTGAGATAATTTCCTGTATCTTATCTGATCACAATGGAATTAAACTAGAATTCAGCAGCAAAAGATACTACAGTAAACACTCAAACACAGGAAGACTGAGCACCATACTGTTAAATAACAACAGGTGGATCATTGAAGAAGTAAAAGAGAAAATTAGAAAGTTTCTACAATTCAATGAAAATGAAAATACATCATGCCAGCACCTCTGAGACAGAGTAAAAGTGGTGTTGAGTGGAAAAATCATAGCTCTAAGTGCATATATAAAGAAAATAGAAAGAGCAAAGTAAATAACCTCATGACACAACTGAAACTTCTAGAAAAACAGGAACAAACCAAACCCAAAACTACTAGACAGAGAGAGATAGAGAGACAGAGACAGAGACAGAGTGTGTGTGTGTAAAGGTTAGGGCAAATCAATGAATTAGAGACTAAAAAGAAAAAACTATACATAAAAATCAATGAAACAAAAAGCTATTTCTTTGAAAAAATCAGTAAGATTGACAGACCACCTCACTAAGATGATGAACAAAAATGGAGAGAAGAGACTCAGATCAACAAATTAGAAATATTAAAGGAAACATCACAACAAATATCCAAGAAATCCAAAACATTATAAGGACTGTTTTCAAAAAGATAGACAATCTAGCAGATAGAATAAATCTTAAGTGACATGCAAGCTGAGTAGGCTGAATCCAGAATATATAAACCACTGAAACAGAGACTCATAACAAGCAATGAGATTGAGTCTTCCAACAAGGAAAAGTCCAGATCCAGATGGATTAGCAGCTGACTTCTGTAAGACCTTTAAAGATGAACTAACAACACGATTACTCCTTAAACTTTTCCATGAATACAATTAAGGATCATTACCAAACATTTTATGAAATCAGCATTACTCTTATCACAAAACTAGGTAAGGACCCAAAAATAAAAAAGAACTACAGGGCTGGGTATGTGGCTTAGTGGTAGAGTGTTTGCCTGGCATGCATGAAGCCCTATTCCTTAGTTCCACATAAACAGAAAAAGCCAGAAGTGGTGCGGCTCAAGTGGTAGAGTGCTAGCCTTGAGCAAAAGAAGCTCAAGGCCTAGGCCTTGAGTTCAACCCCTAGCACTGGCAAAATGAAAAACAAAAACCCCATAGACCAATCATTCTAATGAACATAGATATAAAGCTCCTTATTAAAATACTTTCCAAAAAATTCAACAACTAATCAAAAAAAGTTATACACTATGATTAAGTGGGTTTTATACCAGAGATGCAAGGCTGGTTTAATATATGGAAACCAATAAACATAATAAACCATATTAATAGAGCCAAAGACAAGAATCATATGATCATTTCAATAGATGCAGAAAAAGCCTTAAATGAAATTCAACATCCATTCATGTTAAAAGCACTGGAGAAGCTAGGAATAGAAGGAACATACCTCAACATAATAAAGGCTATATATGACAGACCTAAGCCAACATCATATGAAATGGTGAAAAACTAAAACCATTTCCTCTAAAATCAGGAATAAGGCAAGGATGTCTACTCTCACTACTCCTTTTCAATGTAATTCTGGAACTCCTAGCCAGAGCAGTAAGGCAAAAGACTTAAAAGGGATTCTCATAGGGAAAGGAGAAGTCAAACTATCCCTATTTGCAGATGACATAATCTTTTATCTATAGGAACCAGGAGACTTCACCCCAAGTTCCTAGAGCTAATGAATAACTGTGGCAATGTACCAGGATATAAACTCCACCCACAAAAATCAGTAGCCTTTCTATATAACAACAATGTTCAGAGAGGAAAATTAGGAAAACAATTCCATTTACAATAGCCTCAAAAGCATTAAATATTTAGGAATAAACCCAATCAAGGAAGCAAAAAGACTGCTATAATAGAAACTATAAAAATCTAAAAAAAAAGGAAGTGGTGCTGTAGCTCAAGTGGTAGAGAGCTAGCCTTGAGCTGAAAAGCTATAGGACAGCACACTCAGACCCAGAGTTCAAGCGCCACAACCAACAACAACAACAAAAAAAAATCTGAAAAAAATAGAAGACAACATCAGGAAATAGAAAGATTTTCCCATGTTCATGGACAAACAGAAGTAATATTGTGAACATGGCCATATTGCCAAAGTGATACACAAATTTAATGCAATCTTCATCAAAATCCCAATGAGACAGAGAGAACAATCCAAAAATTTGTATGGAACAACAAAATTACCTTGCGTAGCCAAAGCAATTTTAGGCAAAAAAAAAAAAAGCAGTGCTGGTAGTATCATAATCTTAGACCTAAACTCTACTACAGAGCTACAAAAACAAGTCCAAAAATCAATGGAACAGACTAGAAGACCCAGGGGGAAAAAAGTGACACTCTCAGTTACCTGGTATTTGACAAGGGAGCCAAAAAATACAGTGGAAACAAAAATATAGCCTCTTCAATAATCAACGTTGGGAAAACTGGACATCAATATGTAGAAAACTAAAATTGGATCCCTGTTTGTCACCATACACAAATATAATTCAAAGTGGATTAAAGACCTCAATGCCAAACCTAAAACTGAAACTACCGCAAGGAGTAGGAGAAACATTAGAACTCATAAGCTTAGGCAGAAACTTTTTGAAGAGTCTCAGGGGCATGACAGATAGGAGAGAACTGACAAATGGGATTACATCAAAATAAAGTTTCTGCACAGTAAAGGACATAGTTACTAAACTAGAAAGATAGCCAAAAGACTGGGGAAGATCTTTACAAGCGATGCATCTGAAAAAGGCCATACAAAATATACAAGGAGCTCAAGAAATTAACTCCTCTCAAAACTAATAAACCAATCAATAAATGGGCAAAGGAGCTTTAAAGAGAGTTCTCAGAAGAAAGAATGGCAAATGGCCATAAAGGAAATGCAAATCAAAACAAGTTGGAGATTCTATCTCACCCCAGTCTGATTGACTAACATAAAAAACTCAACCAACAACGAATGTTGGTGGGGATGCAGGAAAAAAGGAACCCTACTGCACTTTTAGTGGGAATGTAAACTAGTATAACCACACTGGAAGGCAGTTTGGAGGTTCCTCAGAAAACTAAACATGAAACTTCCCTATGACCTAGCCACACCAGTCGTGGGCATCTACCCAGGTCATTACAAGCCAGGATATGCTAAAGACACCTGCACATCCATGTTCACTGCTACACAATTCACAACAGCCAAGTTATGGGAACAGCCCAGATGCCCTA